CAGAGTTTCCTGGTGCACTCACTTCTCTTAGTTTAACGCTCACATTTACATATTGCCTGTGCATCTTGCCAGGTGGATGGCGTTCTGCGGCCAGGTGGTTACGGTTTGAACTTTTCGCATCTTCTCAAAAATCAATGCATGTAGACAGTAGGTGAATGGAGCTTGGCACAGGATTTCAGAAACATGGCTTTTAATGTTTATAGACATTAATTAGAATTAGTGGATCTGTTATAGAAAGTACACATTCTAAACCTTAAAAAAGTGTGTGCTGTATATAGTGTGTTAGTGTACCCAGCACTCACTCACTGACAGTATACACTAACACACTACATACAGCACTCACTGACAGGATACACTAACACACTACATACAGAACTCACTGACAGTATACACTAACACACTACATACAGAACTCACTGACAGTATACGCTAAAACTCTATATACAGCACTCACTCACTAACAGTAAACACTCACACTATACATACACCACTCACTGACAGTATATACTAAGACACTGTATACAGCACTCACTGACAGTATACACTAACATACTACATACAGCACTCACTGATTGTATACACCTACACACTATATACAGCACTCACTAACAGTACACACTAATACACTACATACAGCACTCATTGACAGTATACGCCTACACACTATATACAGCACTCACTAACAATATACACTAATACACTACATACAGCACTCACTGACAGTATACGCATACACACTATATACAGCACTCACTAACAGTATACACTAATACACTACATACAGCACTCACTGACAGTATACACTAACACACTACATACCACTGACAGTATACACTAACACACTACATACAGCACTCACTGACAGTATACAATAACATACTACATACAGCACTCACTGACAGTATACGCTAACACAATACATACAGCACTCACTGACAGTATACACTAACATACCACATACAGGCAGCACTCACTCACTGACAGTATACACTAACACACTATATAAAACACTCACTGACAGTATACGCTAACACACTGTATACAGCACTCACTGACAGTAAACACTAACACACTATGTACAGCACTCACTGACAGTATACACTAACACACTGTATACAACACTCACTGACAGTATACACTAACATACTGTATGCAGCACTCACTGACAGTATACACTAACACACTATATACAACACTCACTGACAGTATACACTAACACACTGTATACAGCACTCACTGGCAGTATACACTAACACACTATATACAGCACTCACTGACCGTATACACTAACACACTGTATACAACACTCACTGACAGTATACACTAACACACTACATACAGCACTCACTGGCAGTATACACTAACACACTGTATACAACACTCACTGACAGTATACACTAACACACTGTATACAGCACTCACTGACAGTATACACTAACACACTGTATACAGCACTCACTGACAGTATACACTAACACACTGTATACAACACTCACTGACAGTATACACTAACACACTGTATACAACACTCACTGACAGTATACACTAACACACTGTATACAACACTCACTGACAGTATACACTAACACACTGTATACAGCACTCACTGACAGTATACACTAACACACTGTAAACAACACTCACTGACAGTATACACTAACACACTGTATACAACACTCATTGGCAGTATACACTAACACACTGTATACAGCACTCACTGGCAGTATACACTAATACACTGTATACAGCACTCACTGACAGTATACACTAACACACTATATAGAGCACTCACTGACAGTATACACTAACACACTGTATACAGCACTCACTGACAGTATACATTAACACACTGTATACAACACTCACTGACAGTAAACACTAACACACTATATACAGCACTCACTGACAGTATACACTAACACACTGTATACAACACTCACTGACAGTAAACACTAACACACTATATACAGCACTCACTGACAGTAAACACTAACACACTATATACAGCACTCACTGGCAGTATACACTAACACACTATATACAACACTCACTGACAGTATACACTAACACACTGTATACAGCACTCACTGGCAGTATACACTAACACAATACATACAGCACTCACTCACTGACAGTATACACTAACACACTATATAGAGCACTCACTGACAGTATACACTAACACACTATATACAACACTCACTGACAGTATACACTAACACACTGTATACAGCACTCACTGACAGTATACACTAACATACCACATACAGGCAGCACTCACTCACTGACAGTATACACTAACACACTATATAGAGCACTCACTGACAGTATACACTAACACACTGTATACAGCACTCACTGACAGTATACATTAACACACTGTATACAACACTCACTGACAGTAAACACTAACACACTATATACAGCACTCACTGACAGTATACACTAACACACTGTATACAACACTCACTGACAGTAAACACTAACACACTATATACAGCACTCACTGACAGTAAACACTAACACACTATATACAGCACTCACTGGCAGTATACACTAACACACTATATACAACACTCACTGACAGTATACACTAACACACTGTATACAGCACTCACTGGCAGTATACACTAACACACTATATACAGCACTCACTGACCGTATACACTAACACACTGTATACAACACTCACTGACAGTATGCACTAACACACTACATACAGCACTCACTGGCAGTATACACTAACACACTGTATACAACACTCACTGACAGTATACACTAACACACTGTATACAGCACTCACTGACAGTATACACTAACACACTGTATACAGCACTCACTGACAGTATACACTAACACACTGTATACAACACTCACTGACAGTATACACTAACACACTGTATACAACACTCACTGACAGTATACACTAACACACTGTATACAGCACTCACTGACAGTATACACTAACACACTGTATACAACACTCATTGGCAGTATACACTAACACACTGTATACAGCACTCACTGGCAGTATACACTAATACACTGTATACAGCACTCACTGACAGTATACACTAACACACTATATAGAGCACTCACTGACAGTATACACTAACACACTGTATACAGCACTCACTGACAGTATACATTAACACACTGTATACAGCACTCACTGACAGTATACACTAACACACTGTATACAACACTCACTGACAGTAAACACTAACACACTATATACAGCACTCACTGACCGTATACACTAATACACTGTATGCAGCACTCACTGACAGTATACACTAACACACTACATACAGGACTTACTGACAGTATACACTAACACACTGTATACAACACTCACTGACAGTAAACACTAACACACTATATAGAGCACTCACTGACAGTATACGCTAACACACTGTATACAGCACTCATTTCATGACAGTATACAAAATATGCTATAGATTTAAACATTTTTTTTACTGTTCCTCCTATTTTTCTCTGTTTTCTCACTTGATCTGTGAATTAAATGGCAGTAACATGCACTAATCAGTGTGCAGCCAAATATATACATTTTGCTGTATGCTGATTGGCCCATTATCGAATCTTTTGGTTCGTCTGATTCGTTTTCCCAAATCTTTTTTGTTAACAAAATTCTGATGACTTGAAATGCTTTACGCCAAAATGTTTACAGTGAGTGAGTGAGTGCTGTGTGTATACAGTCAGTGAGTGAGTGCTGTGTGTATACAGTCATTGAGTGAGTGAGTGCTGTGTGTATCAGTCAGTAAGTGAGTGCTGTGTGTATACAGTCAGTGACTGAGTGCTGTGTATATTGCCAGTAAGAGAAGGCTGTGTCTAGTGAAACTGTGTATACTATAAGTCAGTCAATGCTTGGAATACAGTCATTCAGTCAGTGAGTATATACTGTCAGTCATGGCTGTGTATACTTCCAGTCAGTCAGTGAGTGCCGTGTATACTGTCAGTGCTGTGTATACAGCCAGTCAGTTCTGTGTATGCAGTCAGTCAGTGCCGTGTATACAGCCAGTCAGTGCTGTGTATACTATCAGTCAGTGCTGTGTATTCAGTCAGTGCAGTGTATTCAGTCAGTCAGTACTGTGTATACTATCAGTCAGTGCTGTGTATTCAGTCAGTCAGTACTGTGAATACTATCAGTCAGTCAGTGCTGTGTATACTATTAGTCAGTGCTGTGTATTCAGTCAGTACTGTGTATACTATCAGTCAGTGCTGTGCAGTCAGTCAGTGCTGTGTATACTATCAGTCAGTAAGTCCTGTGTATTCAGTCAGTAGTGTGTATACTATCAGTCAGTCAGTGCTGTGTATACTGTTAGTCAGTGCTGTGTATACTATCAGTCAGTGCTGTGTATTCAGTCAGTAGTGTGTATACTATCAGTCAGTCAGTGCTGTGTATACTGTTAGTCAGTGCTGTGTATACTATCAGTCAGTGCTGTGTATTCAGTCAGTAGTGTGTATACTATCAGTCAGTCAGTGCTGTGTATACTGTTAGTCAGTGCTGTGTATACTATCAGTCAGTGCTGTGTATTCAGTCAGTAGTGTGTATACTATCAGTCAGTCAGTGCTGTGTATACTGTTAGTCAGTGCTGTGTATACTATCAGTCAGTGCTGTGTATTCAGTCAGTAGTGTGTATACTATCAGTCAGTCAGTGCTGTGTATACTGTTAGTCAGTGCTGTGTATACTATCAGTCAGTGCTGTGTATTCAGTCAGTAGTGTGTATACTATCAGTCAGTCAGTGCTGTGTATACTGTTAGTCAGTGCTGTGTATACTATCAGTCATTAAGTGCTGTGTATACTATCAGTCAGTGCTGTGTATTCAGTCAGTAGTGTGTATACTATCAGTCAGTCAGTGCTGTGTATACTCTCAGTGAGTGTTCTATTGCTGAGAGTGTGAGAAGGAAGTATGTGAAGTGTAAGCTCAGCCTTTCAGTTCCTGGTCATTGATTGGCTGAAGGAGGAGCCCAGTCACGTGGTGAGGAGTGAGCTGGGTGGGGAGGGAGCTCTCAGTGAGGGACTGGCACAGTTAGAGCAGGTTGGAGCTCTGTGAAGTAGTCATGGCATTGAAGGATGAGTTGCTGAAGCCAATCTGGCATGCATTCACTGCACTGGATGTGGATCAGAGTGGCAAGGTGTCCAAATCCCAGCTAAAGGTAAGACTTCAGCCACCTTGCCCTACTCCCATCACAGCTAGCCAATACCTTGTGCAATGGCTCCTTCTCCCAACACAGCCAGCCAATAGCCTGGGCAATGGCTCCTGCTCACAACACAGCCACTTAGCCAATACCTGGGACAATGGTTACTACTCACAGCCAGTCAGTACCTGGTCATTGGCTCCAACTCCAACCCAGCTGGCTGTGTGATAGATCATGTAACAGTATCAGAGTTTCTATTTCCTTGTTGTTTGTTGTAGAGTTTATCCTGGGCAACAAGTGCTGCTAGCTATTTACTAAACTTTACTAAAATATCCAAACTGGATCCCGTGAGAAATTAATCATTACTATTCAATTCCCTGCTTTATTTACACCAATTCCTGATTGTGAAAACACAACTTCCAAACTGTGGATCCAGACAGGCAGGTGGGAGGACAAATCACCCAACTGGGCTTCATTGTACAGCATCTGGGGTCCATTATCTAAACTGCAACAATCTTAAACATTCCATTTTGTCCCCAGTGAACCCCAACATTCAATAAATATAACCCAATGTCTGGGGGTAACTGATTTTATATAGGATGAATATGCTAAATAGAGAACTCACTGTTGCATATTGTGCAATCATTCTGTGATAAAGTTAGATTTTTGTTTTAGTGACATGCAGATAAGTTGCTTTAAAAATCGATAGTTATTTCTGGTTTTGCAATCCGTGTAAATGTTGCTGAAGGGGTATATGGAATTCTCTAAAACCCCAGAATTGAGAATTCTCCCCCTGAAGGTGCCCCATGTTTAAAGGAACACTCCAATAGCAATTTTATTTTTTTAAAAATTTTTTTATTTAGTAAACTTACATTTAATTATGCATATTTTTTCATTTTAGTAGATCTAAAAACAGCTTGTACAAGCTTCAGTTCACTTGTCTGCAGCCTTTACAAGCCCTCCCCTTTTAGCCCCACCCAGACTTTCTGTGGCTGTCCAATCACAGACTTTCCAATGCAGCTCCGTGAAAAGTCATTGCAAGGCAGGTGCTCTGACCAATTGCCTGCTCTTGAGTAGGGATCGACCGATTATCGGCAGATATTAGGTATTTTCGGCAATATCGGTATCTGCCAATCGAGATATCGATTATTGCCGATAATACAGACCAGAATCGCCAGGCCCATGACAAGCCCGGTGGTCCTGGAGGGCCCGCAGCAAGCTTTTACATTCCCAGCTTATCCCTTCAGCTCCCCTGTCTAACTCTCGCGAGTCCCTTGGCCGTCAGAGCGTTGAGACAGATTACCATGGCAATGCTCCACGCGGCACGCAGGCCGCGAGATTTAGACGCGGAAGCTGAAGGGAGCTGCTGGGAAGGTAAGAGCTTGCTGCAGGCCCCCACTGCACAGTCCATGCCACAGGACCACCAGGGAATGCCATATCCCCCCTCCCTGGCCACGTAAGAAGCAGGGAGGGGGGACTAAAACAAAAAAAATGCCCCCACCCTCCCAAATTGCATACCTACAGAAACATATATACACACACACACACACACACTGCATTCATTATATACACTACACACACACTGCATTCACTATACGCACACTACACACACTGCATTCACTATACGCACACTACACACACACTGCATTCACACCACACACTGCATTCACTATATGCACACAACACACACAGTGCATTCACTATATGCACACAACACACACACTGCATTCACTATACACACACACTTTGCATTCACTATATATACACACTACACAAACACACACAGCTCCCCTGTCTAAACACACTGCCTCCACTACATGTGGCATGTATATTTTGTGCATTTACCTTTTAGAAATAGTAAATTTTTATTTAAAATGGTAAATGTACAGAATATCAGTAAGTTATTGGCTATCTGCCTGAAAGTTCACAGATTATCGGTATCTGTATCAGCTCTAAAAAATCAATATTGGTCGATTCCCTACTCTTGAGCTTAGATCAAATGAGTTAACCAACCAGGGAGTAACAGGATCAGGTGTAGCAAGTTAATAAGTGTCAATTTCTATTAAGTAATAGGTTGTAGTAGAATCAGGGGTATGGGAAAAATAAATATATAAAATCCACATGTCTAATGTATCAATGCAGTGGCCCAATCTACTTATCCTGACACCCAAAATCATTTCAGATTAAGACACCTGCCTAGGGCCCTGAGCATATTAGAGAGGTTTTCACTAAACCGATATGGAAAAATTGTCTAAGCTATAGTCAGAACTTTTTGTCTCCATTTTTCCATTCAGCATTAATTCTGTAAAAATTTGGAGGTTAGTGAATATCCTTGAGGGTTTTACCCTCTTACCCCCACCCTCCATACCTCCAAGTGTTCCTTTTAAGGGACAGTCCCTAATATGGCCCTCACAGTTGTAGCACTCTGTTTGAGAGTGCATTCTGGAATACAGACGGTAACTCATTGAGTGTTGGCCCACCAGGGAACATTTACTGTGGACTGCAGACCACATGCTCCTGACCTCTCTGGTAGTAGACCTGCTGCTTGCATATGACAAGGCTAAAGGCAAAAATAAGCAAAAAAAAATTTCCTGCCTGGCATCTTGTGCTACAGTTCCAGGTCGTGGGCAATCTCTGAGAGTCCATTGACTAAGCAACTTCTTCTAACCAATAGAAAGCATTGTTATAATATACATGGGTGAATGGGCGCTCGTCATATCTGTTTTGAGCAAACACATGATGTACCTACTCTAGAGTAATTCTCTGAATTTTAATAAAAAAAAAAAAATCAAATTAGAAAACTTATCCTACTTCATTCTTTTTCACAGTTTATGGATTAATCCAGCTTGCTTGCTTTCTAAATTTGTGTATCTAGATCGTGCAGGAGTTAATATTAATGGTTAAATTCTTTAAATTAAAAAAAAACCAACAAACTTTTAATGTTGTCTCTAAGCACCATAACTCCTATAGCTGAGTTCAGAATTTTGGATACTGTTCAAACAAACAAGTAAAATGTTACTGGCCCCTGAAATGCTCCTCCTACTACGTAATCTCTGGGAACGGACAGGGTAGTGGCACATGCAGCCGCTCTTCTGTAATGTGACGTGTAACGTGACCTCTGCATTAAAAGTAAATAAGTGTGAGGTTAGGGAACCAATATGTTATTAATTTTGTTCTGATTCATGTTTACTGTCTTTAAATGTCCCTGCACGTCTGCATGTGAGAAGGAGACTTATATGTGATCTCTCTCCCCTATGGATGAACCAGCCTGTTTGGGACATACAGACTGTTTATTGCAGCAAATGATGTACTCCACACACCGTGCTTGTGTTGTGTTAACTCTGATGGCTGACGGGCAGATATACCAGCTCTGTTGTCTTATCATTTTGACTACCACACATGCCGTCCTTGTAGCAACTATTAATAAATTGCTATGTGCAAACAATGTTGAGGATCCTCGCAGAGCGTGAGAGCCCGTGGCACACTAGCTAGGGCCAAATATCCACTCAACTATTGGCTAGTGGGCAAAGGGAAATTCTGTAGTGTTTGTAGTGTGTGACAAGAACCACGGCCCTCTCAATGCCATCAGCCCAGCCCTGTCCAATTTTAGATGCACTGAGTGCTGTTGAGGTTCACGTGAATTAATAGATATAAACCATCAACCTTCCACATCCGAGATCGATCTATACTTCCCTATACTTTCACCTATTGTGTAAATATAACCAATTCAGTGTGGACGGTTAATTTTGGGCCATTTTCACCTCCTGTTCCAGTTTGCCCAATTTGTTTAGTGACTTTGCAGCATTATATACGGATTGAACATATGGAGCTATAGCAATAAAAATTTATATAGGAATAAAACGGTGATTTTATTACTTTTTTCATTCTTAGGGTTTTATTCACTAAACAGTAAATTGTCAACTTTGCAAAAATTGCTGATTTTGAAAAATTGTCTAACTGTTGCAGTCCGATTTCATTAAAATGAGATACATTTCCTTAAGGTAAGTAGACTTGAAGCAGTCTGAACTGCCCTTTCACTTTTAGTGCCGCCTTTAATATTTAACTCCGGCTTTACTGGTAATTCCAGTTTGTATCAAAACAAAAATTCCCCCAAATACTTTCACGTCACATTTCACTTGGCCAATTACGTGCTGCCTAGAGCCATGTGTTTTTCATCTTCAGCCGCTCCCAAACATACTGACTTCAGGTGCACAGATTGTGCTTTAATGGTTAGCCATGTGTGAGGGGCAGACCGATTTGACGCCCGTCATTCTATCGTTGGTTTATGCGGAACCTTTTCAGGGGAGGGAAGGCGTTTTTGCAAATCCGTCCTTGTGAAAAAAATAAAGAAGAGTTATTGTGTATTTTGGGCGTGTGACAGAAAGTTACATTGTTGGCTCAGACACTTTTAAGGTTGAAATCCGATATTTTTTTGTGTTATTTTCAAGCATTGAAGGCCATTGCTGCTGCCGTGAAAAGGCCTCTTTTTAGAACATATAGGGGCTTATTCAGTAAATTTGGACTGTGGCGAATTGATGAGGAATTCCATTGTAGTAATTACAGTCCATAATAGAATGGATCAGGGTTTGTGAATACAATGGATTGCTTGACTCATCAGACTACACTTCCATCTGTGCTCAGTCAAGGAACACTATAGAGTCAGGAACACAAACATGTACAGTACTCCTGATCCTATAATGTTAAAATCACTATCTTGGCCCCCTTGGGGAGGGGGGGCAGAGCGTGGAGATACTGTACACCACTGCCTCAGTAAGCAACACTAATAGCCATTTGAGGAGTGGCCAGTGGAGGTATCCCTAAGCTGTAATGTAAACACTCCACAGGCCCCTGTAAGTTCATTTCCCCCTTGTTCGGCCGGGCATAGTTAGACAGCTAATGGGCCCTCCTATAGACCCACTAGGCCAGGGTAGGCAACCTTTTAGCAGTACTGTGCCGATATAGGATTGTGATGTCCCGTAGCGTGCCGGCCCTTTTTTTTAAAATTTTTTTTTTAATTGAGGTGTGTATGCTGCCGTATTCTGCTTGTGTTATTTATACTGTAATTGCTTTATATTGTTGTATTTGTGCGTATATGAGCTATTATATTGTATATGTTCAAGAGTAGATTGTGGTATCGTGTATGATACATATGAATGTGGGCTGTGTATGGGGGCAGCTTGTGGAATTGTGGGTGGGTGGATATGTCACATTGTGTGTTTAGTAGTGTGTGTATGTGTGGGGGCTGTTTGGGGTATTGCATGTGGGGTTGTGTGCATGTATGTGGATTGTTAGTGGTGTTGCGTTTGTGCGGATTGTGTGTATGTTTGTGTGTGGGCTGTCCGTATTATTTGTATGAGGGGAGGGTCTTTCTGCATTTTTGTGTATATCTAGCAGTGTGGGTGGTTTCCCTGGGTTCCAGTGGGGACCATGTTGGCCAGGTACAGGTCAAGGACAGGAGCTACAACAACAACTGCAAGCTGCTCTACTACTGTGTGGATTCCCATTCACAAGTGCTGGAATTAAGTGCTCTGAGATCACTTCCTCTATGTGCTGCAATGCATAAATTGAGGATTGTCCTTCACCACCTCTTCGTATTCGCAGATATCTGAAGTTTTACTGGGATTCCTGATAGGCCAGAGCTGGTTTGGCTCTAGCAGCCTTGCGTGCTGTGCAAAGGCACCTCGAGTGCCATGCATGGCACTAGCGCCGTAGGTTGCCTACCCCTGCACTAGGCTGTCTCTCACTGTGCCTGACTGGTGAGCAGAGCAGGAGAGATGTCTGTAACACAGATTAGGCCGCTCCGTGCGGCTCCTTATAGAGGAAATGGCATCATGTATCAAAAGTTCAGGTAGCCGGTGCGGAGCTTCCTGATCTGTGTTAGAGGCAGCACTTCAGGGAGAGACAGCATGCTCCAGTGCTGGCTGGGAGAAGGATCCCCCCCCCTGCCGCCAAAGGTAAGCTTTAGAGAGGGGGCAAAATTAATTGTTTTTTGTTTTTACATTTTTTTTAATTAAAAATGTATATCATGGCCCCCACAACAGCCCCTCTATCCAATGCAGCCCTTCTACCCTCTACCCCCTGCAGCCTCTCCACCCAGTATAGCCCCTTTAGCCCCTATTTCCACAGCAGCCCCTCTTCCCCCCTGCTGGCCCTCTACTCACTGCTACTTCTCTACCCCCAGCAGCCCCTCTACCTTCTACCCACTACAGCCCTTACTCCTGCAGCCCCTCTACCTACTACAGCCCCTCTACCCCCTGATGCCCCTCTACTGCCCTGCTGCTTCCCTACACACTGCTGCCCCCTGTTGCCCTGCTTCCCCTCTACCCCAGACTCCCTGCTGCCCCCCTACCTCCTGCTTTTCCTGTACCCACAGTAGCCCCTCTACCTTCTACCCACTACAGCCCTTACACCCCCTACACCCACCACAGTCTCTATATCCACTACAGCCCCTCTAACCCCTACAGCTCCTATACCCACCTCAGCTCAAATATCCGAAGCAGCCCTTAAACCCCACCCCCCAGTTTTTATCTACTTAAAAGGAAACTATTTTGAATCCTAATATCCTAACACGACTTACAGTAAGTATACACAGAAACATACATTCACTTTACATGCACATACAATCAAATATATTTTGAATCCTAATATCCGAACACGTCACAAAAAGACATACATATATGAATATACACAGAAACATAAATTCACTTTACATTCAAATACAAGGTGCATCTACTACAGTGTGTGTGTGTGTGTATCCTAATTTTTCCTGAGGGCACAGGACTCCCCTGAGAATAATCATAAAAATCTGTTTCATTTCTTATTTTTAAATGTGCTCTGTTTTAGCTGTTGCTAAGGTAAAGTTGGGATTACTCTGTCTAATGGCCTGTGACGAAGTGCCCTTTGCCACTTGTGCCTGGAGGGGACTACTGGCTAGCCTCCTGCCTTCCGACTATGGCCCCTGTGCTGATAGCTGTATTTCACCCTGCAGAAAGGCTTATTTGTGTATTTCTGCCAGGGCATTCGGGACTTTCAGTATGTGAGTAGTGCTACCCCAGATAGCTATGCCATGGAGCCTATTCGTGTAACAAAAGACTATGGAAAAGACTTTGGCTCCATTGAACTGAATGTGTATGTGATCTGAGCGCCATTCGGTAATAATGTGCGCTCAGATCTAAGCTATCTGGGAATATGTTGCATGTATATGTTTTCTGTAGTAATTGTAACATTGTGTAATTTTATGTCTTTTTGTAACCATGTGGTTAATGGAGTCTTGCCTCTGTCCTGGGAGATAATTTGATTACTTCCCAATTATCTCCAGGATAGAGAGGAGGGATTGTGATGTCACTGTGGGAGCGTTTTGTTTGTATTATCTGTGATTGGCTACTATCCAATATGTGTCCCATTGTTCCATCAGGTCCCCTAGGGGAGTGTTTACCTGGTGGACACTTGCACAAATACCAGGCGGATAGCCCTCAATAAACCAGACCTACTTGCACCTTTCTTGAAGCCTTGGCTCATGCTTGGGGGAAGGGATACCTACACTCTGGGGATTGCTATAATCACTTACTCCCCAGAGTAAGCTCTTGTAAGAGCTTGATTTGTTCCTGCTATGCTCTCTGGATTTAGGAGAGGTTCACCTACTGGGAGCTGGATCCTGGTCGTGGATCCAGGGTGAGAGACGGCGAGACCCCAGCGCAGCTGCATCGCTGGAAGTGGAGTCTGCAGTGCTGATGGTGTTGGTTGGAGTGCTCGGAGTCCTCGGGAAGCGCTAGGAGCATCCTTCAATGGAAGTACCCAGTCGGGGTGCCAGGTGATCCGTTACATGGCCCTTCTTCCCGAAAGCTCAGTTTTGCAGGTTTATTGTCTAAAGTGAGAATTGTGAAGAATTCAAAGTGAATAAATTGAGCCTCAACAATTCTTACTTTAGTGAATAACGTTTATTATCTTCCGTGCTGACACCATGTGGCCTTTTATAACTTACTACACCCATCTTTGTGTTCTCTGATCTCAGCCTAAACCAGGAAGAGGTAACTATGCAAATCGTAATGGTAAAACTGTCACAAAATTCTTTTTTATTTAAAATAATAAATATAAAAAAATATCCTGGTAAATTTTAGGTAAGCTCACAATCCAGTAAAAACACAATAGATCTGTGAATGTGAAGCAACTATATTCCTCTGTGGGTCCTATTGGATATCAATTAATGTAGCTCAAGTGGTTTAAAATCCAGAATTAATTGACATATAGACCTCTCATTACCTGGGATGGATTTGCCGGTAGACAGCTGCCTATAAGAACCTGTTTTGTATATCTGTCATTCAGCACTAGAATGTGCTTTGCTGTATTGCTGCCCACTTATGGGTTACACGCTTACACACACTAAACCACAAACAATTGACTCTACGCACACGCGTAGCCACCAGCAAATTCGGTGCACCAGGGGATTGTTTCCATGAGTGAGCTCTTCAGCAGGGCTCTGCGCATGGCATGCCCCGGAGAGCTAGCACTCTGAGTTGCTTTGGGCTGCTTTGCCTTTAAAAGCCCAGGCTGAATTTATTTCCTAGTCCGACCCTGATAATATATAAACAAACAAACTTGCTTGTAAGAGGTAGGAAAGGGGAAGACCTCTACATAATACCTAGCTCCCTCAAAGCGCGCATTGTGTTCGGTAATTCTGTAACAAATGCTGTGCAGGTTTTCTGCACTAGGCTTGATCTTTTTGAAACTTTTTTTTTTTTTTTTAACTGTTTATTTTGAGGAAAAAATGAAGACCCTTGTTTGTGCTCGCAGCTCTGCTCATCACTGGAGTCTTAATTAAAATGGAAAAAAGAGGTATGACTTGGCGCTTCTATATAAACGCAACAATCCCCAGTGCTACCGATCACCCACTGGAGCACAAAAACAATTAGACTATATTACTGTGAATAAATCACAAGATCGTAGAAAGTGCAATAGAAATAACACATAAAAGTTATAATAGACAAACCTTATTGAATAGGTTCTTAGTCACAATTTATTCTGTGTATATCTGTATGGAAAATACAACAGAAAAACACATAGTGCAATATTGTATGTAATATTGTTGTATATTGCACTATGTGTATGTTTTTGTTGTATTTTCCATACAGATGTACACAGAATCAGTTGTGACTGATTTATTCACATTAATGTAGTCTTAATTAAGTCTAATAACGAATGAAAACAAGTGCAACTGCTGGGTTTTATTGGAGCCTGTGTGCTCCTTCCCGCCTACCGCGATCAGGGTGTATGCACTGGGACACGGGTATCTCCTCTCACTGAGATTTACCATCATATCCCAATGCCTCATGATTTCTGATACGAGAGGAGCCACACCAGGAGTGTAAGAATAGGGATCTAGGTGTTCCGCTCCCACCTGGCATCGATCAAAAGTAGTTGTGAGGGTTGGGGGAAGAGGGGGGAGGGGAAGGTACAGAGTGTTTGCCACTTAGTTATTTTAGGGTGTGGTATAGCTGAGAGGTAAAGATATTTATCTCGACTCGTTCTCACTTCTTTTCTGCACCCAATGGGCAGGCCATTTAATTTTTTATTTATTTTTACATTTTATTTGTTTTTAAACCAATTGCCCTTTGTCAAAATTACGTTGGTATAGATGGCCATAAAGCTATAAATTGCTCCATATATGTTATGAAATCTGGTTTCACACAAAGGGCTTTGTCATTGGATTTAAGGAAGCCAGGGCAAGATTTCTGAAATAATATCAGGTTTTCGCTGCACAGAGTTTACTGCTGTATTGTCAGCTCAGAATAAACCTTCTATAGGTCCAGGGGCCACCTAACAATACAAGTGAGAAATAAACTGTCTGGAATTTTAATCAATCTAACTTTTTATATAGAAATTCGAGTTCTGGGAAAAGATGACCTTAATGCACCTTCCCTTCTCCCCCCCCTCTCCCCTCCCACCTGATACCTGATACCTGTTGCACGGGAACATTCGCTGACATCCACAGGTATCCACAAATATATCCAGTAATTCACATGTTAAGAAGACTGGTTCCTGACCTCCTCATGGAGTGTAAGCTCTCAAGAACAGAATGCAGAAGCACTGCTTTATAAATAACATGACAGGCAGCAGGATTCATTAATGTCTCCTAGAATATACTTGAGAGGTGATCGCTTTGTGCCTGTGAAGTATCTGCACGACAATAAGTTTGTGAATATTTTTTTCCCCTATATAAAGAGCTTCATTGTGAGTAAAGGGAGTTTTTGGGGACTAAGTGGAAATTCCAGCTGTTGCTATAAGAAACCTGTGTTGTGATGCAGGTTCTCGCTGTGGGAACTGTACTGTCTGCAGGGTATTTTATTAAAGCATTAGAAATTCCGTACACAGAGCTTGTTTTCTGGGGGCTCAGCGTACAGTTATTTAACATGGGGTTTAGTTTACCAAATCATTCTTTCTCGCTCTCTGACATGTTGTGCCTTTAGCATGATGTCCCATATGGATTATGGTGTGGTACGGTTTGTTGCTGATGAAACCACAAAATAGTCATGGGGAGTTTGCTTTTGCTTGTTGCTTTAGGGCTTCCCTACCCCTTACCCCTTATGCCCCCTCCCCCCGCGCCACTCCTCCAGATGGTTATTTCCTACTCCCAATAATGGACTATCTATCCATCCATCCATCCATCCACGAAATATAACCATCAGACTGCTTCTGCCATTCGTGTTGGGTTCCAATCCAGTTACACCTTGGGAACAATTTGGGCAATTTGCCAGCACTATGCTATATTTATTCTCTAAAGGCCCTGTTTAGTGTGGGTGATCAAACGGCAGATTCAGTTTAAATAGAGGGAATTTACAGCCATTAACATGCAGGAATTGTGGCCCTTTTGGCACATACTCCTTTCAGTTTTAGGGCTCAATAATGTTTAAAAAGCGTGTCTGAGTTTTGCAATGATGGACCTTGCAGTATGGGCATCTTCACAAATAATAATAACCTGCCCTGTCTGTACTGCTGCCTTCTGCACTTCTCCTGCGTTTTTGGGGTATTTCACATTTAATTCTTGATTTCGACAAGTGAAATGTGTTGTTGTGGATGACTCGGCCACTTTTGCCGGGTTTGCCCTGTGAACATAATGTTTCTTATCGCTGCCCTCCTACAGCTTCTTTTGGGATTTGAGACACTTGGTAAGATATTTCTTCAGTGACTCACTTGGTTCACCTGTTCCAGTGACTACCCACCATTTGTCCAGGCTTGGCTGAAGCTTTTGCAAGTAGTTTTAAATATACCCTCAATGATTAAATGCATGTATGTTTGTTTTTGTTTTTTGAAGGATATCTATCAAACAGCGGTTTTATCTTTTATTTATTTTTTACAATTTTTTTTTTTAATATTTTTATAATTGTGCAGTGGAGTGTCTCTTAAATTTATGCTTGAACGAAAAAAATAATTACAGATCAAATTTGAGTGTTTATCTAATGAGCATCAACATGTAAGAATATACATGAAAATGCCATACGATCACATTTATTACATCTCTATGTTATGAACCTGTAGTTGTGTAAATTTGGAATATTGTGCTTTTTAAATGAACTGTATCATCTTGTAAATAAAATATTGGATTTCCATCCCCTAGGAAATTTTGTTTAGAAGCAATGAATAAAATCTTTCTGTGTTGGTAAAACAGGATCTATAGAGAAGTGCAGAGGAAACCGCTATAGCCAGCGATTTTAAAAACTGTACAATACTGGGGGTTACTCGTTAAACTAGGACGTATCGACAGACGATAAAGAAACTGCAAATGTTGGGTCCAAATCGGTAGCTGTTGTTGGCAAAGGTTTTACTGGCTAGCGTAGTTCGATCAATGATAGACGTGAATGTGTTCACTGTATTGCAAAGAGTAAAATTTAATAAATTAGAATATAGATTTCCTTATATTTCATAAAACTTAATTTATCCTCTCAGTAGACATTAGGGATGAGGCATAATTATGAATCTACAAATTAAGAAGAGAACATTTTATAACTATAACAGAATGATTTGTATCATTCACTCCTACCAAAAGTACAATACAGACAGTTTGTGTGTGTGTGTGTGTATGTATATGTGTACACGGTCTGTATTTTAGGTGCAGAGAATAGATTATTGTATACTGGCCTATGTGAGAAATATAAGGGTTTATTTATTAAGCTCAGAATTGTAGCTAATCAAAAATGGCAAAAATAGCCGAGCCTCATCTGTAACAGAGTTGGGAATTTTTCCAGATCAGATCCCTTTGTCTAAAAGTTGCACAACCATTTTCTCTTTGCTACAATTCACTGTTTATTGTTCCTGTCTGATGCATGCAATTCTCAGTTGAATGACCAAGAATTGCACAAAATGTTTAACATTCCTGCAAACCCTAGTAAGATCACTTGAGTTCCTTAAAAATGCTCCACAATCAACTTCAAAATGTTCATGTTCCTTTTTTTTTTTTTTTTTCCTTTGGATGGGGGGTGTGCAAAGTGTGTGAAACTCTCTCCATGTTTGGGACATTTCTGAATTGTGAGTTTTTGTCACTCTGCAGGTTCTGTCACACAATCTTTGTACGTTGTTAAACGTCCCACATGACCCCGTCGCTCTGGATGAACACTTTCGTGATGATGATGAGGGACCAGTGTCTAATCAGGGATACATGCCTTATCTCAATAAATTCATTCTGGATAAAGTAAGCTCAATTTATTTTATTGAAAACGCAACAACGTGTGTCATTCAAAGAGGAAGTAACATTATTAATGTTTATTTTTTTTTATTTTTTCATAATTATCTGTCACTTTTAAAAAAAATTTTTTACTGCACTGTGGTTAAATTTGAATGTCTGTGTATTTCCAATATACTCCATTTTAAGTTTTGAAGATATACGAGTATACGAGATATACGAGTATCTTTTCTCAGTCTGTTGGATAAACATACAAAGTCACTTTTAAAAAAAATTTTTTACTGCACTGTGGTTAAATTTGAATGTCTGTGTATTTCCAATATACTCCATTTTAAGTTTTGAAGATATACGAGTAAAAATAAATATCAGATGCTAAAACTAAATGTTGTTTAAGCCCCGTAGTTACAGCCTAAAATTTGCAATTACCTTCTCAATTCTCTACAGTTTCTTGGTTTAGTAAATAAACTTCTTGATTTAATGTAACAATATTAAAGGACTACCCCAACCAGCATGGCTACTTCTATTTTTTTAAGTGGTCATGGTGGTAAGAGCCTGGGTGTTATTGGAAATAGTGTTGGGGCAAAGGTGCACCCCGGGGACACATGAACTTGGGAGTAATATTAATTCTGTGCATATTTTATGTGTGACATTAGCGCACTGCTCTTGTCTCCCCTCCCTCCTATCTAGCTTTGCTAATATAGTTCCCCCCCTGCACGCCCTCCTCCTTCTCTCCCTCCTTTTCCCCTTGCTGGCACAGAGTGCACAGAAGCACTCTGAGCCTGTTAAATAGTGCAATCAAAGCCTTTTCTCTAATTGGGCCAGGAGTGGCTCCTGTGACGTCAGGATGAGGGTTGCTGTACAACGTCGGGAGCTTTGCCCAGCGCTTGATAAAGGAAAATTTTATTTTAAAACTCTCTTTTGGGGAGGGGGGTGGTAAAGAAAAATAAATGTATTTTTTTTATTTTTTTTTATTTATTTTTTTTACAAATTGTAGTTACAAATTGTAAACCAAGAGCAAATTGCATTTTTTCCATAATTTTGCAGTTCTTTTGATATATCACACAGTTTAGTAAACAAATGCCCAAATATTGGTTAAGACTTACCGTATCTAATCTGTTTGTATGTATTAAATCTTTCCAAGAATGCTCTAAAAAGTGTTGGCTACTCTTAGCTATTCCTAAATTGCATTATTTTGCACAGAATTTTACATTTTCAGAAAAGGCTTCCAAATTTAGAGGGGCAAAAAAAGAGCAGTCAAATTTTTTTATTTGACACAGAAATAATGGGATGATTGATAAATGTGTTCTTTTGCTGTAGAAATGATATATGTTCAAGAATTAAAGGTCGCAAAAGAAGCAACGAATTGTTGATAACAAATTTTGCCCAAAAAATGCCAAAGAAAAGCGCAAAACTGTTATCCACACTTTGATAAACCTCCCCCAATATGCTCGAAGAAGATATATCTGATAGTGTTCTGTTCATTGTTTAATTTGTGTTTTCTAGAGGGGTGAACAGCTTATACTTCCTTACCAGTGACTGCACTGTCCATCCTGTCTTAGCGTTTTCAGGACAGGACAGTGTACTGTGTGATTTCACAGCCTGGCATACTCTGTACACGCTTTATGCCGGGCTGGGTTCTTTATTATTTCCAAAGCTCTTGCGCAATCCTGTAATAATTGGCTCTGAAATTGGCTGCCACAAGGCAGGTTTCCAGAATACCTATCGACCTGTAATCTGAGCGTTCAGACATAATCTGGGATCTTGGAACCCTGTGTTCAGTGGGACAGCACGGATTGCTTGGATCCCACTGTGAATTCTGCAAAGGGGCCACACATGCTTTCCTTTGCCTTAAATGTTCCTCTATTTACAGCCTTATGTCATTGAAGGGCACCTTTACTTTGTAAAATGACCCTTTGGGCATTATGGGGAAGGTTTCCCCCCCCTTCCGTTTGCAGTATAATCTGCAAATTCAACAGTTTTGCTCACCTGGATTCCAGCGCTGGGTGAAGCTCCCGGCTTGACTTCCATGCTCCCTCCAATGTCACAGGAGCCTCGTGTGGTCTAATCACAGGTTTCTCTGAGAAATCTGTGACTGGTCTTTTTTGCTTGCTCAGAGCTCATGCAGATGCTCTGGGATAACTAGGGAAGGAGCGGAAAGGGTTTTAATAAATAAATAAATATATGTATGTATGTATATGTATGTATATGTATGTGTGTACACACTTAGGGCAACGGCAGGAGGGAGCACACACTGGTTGGAAGGGAGGAATTTGTCACATATGTCTGAAGCAGTCCCAGGCTGCCAATGAACTGGCGCCCAACACACAATAACAAATATCTCAGTATGTGCAGTGTTTCAAGCGTTTTGAAGTGGTCATGGTAACCCTTTAACCCTTCTTGCATCATTGCCTTGTAAAAAAAAAACCACACTTATCTCATCACTGCCATGCTGATAAAGTCATGAAAAAGGTTATTTGTTCTTGCATTGGTGTGGCCTCAAAATGGTGAGTGTGGGGGGATTTCCTGTCACTCGCTCCCTGTCCCGCCATCATGTCAATGTTCCCCTCGGGATATATTGCATGGGTTGAAAGTTATTGTGGCTGTGGCTGTGGCTGTGGCTGGCAGATGTGATGTTAAAGAGTGTATGTACTATTCTGTTTGCTATTCTTCCACCCCTTCTGCATGGGGGTACATTTTGGAATGGTGGTTGGGGGTGGCATGCATCCTCAATTAAAATGGCAGCAGTGTAGAATATTACATATTAGTTTCTGTTATTCCAAGCAGTAAATATTCTGCACAGGGGAACTGTTGCTATCCACCTTCTCTCCAGCCATGTCAGCCAAGACCTAGAGCGACCTGTGTGGTGAATACCGAGTTGTTGAGAAAGACCGTGGAGATGAGAATTGCAGACTCCAAGAATCAGCGGTTCAGCTGAGCGCACAGACCTGGGCGCCATGTAATAAAAAAATGTAAAATGCACAATGCTCCCCAAAGCTTTGTTTACCAAGACACGGTTAGCCACACTGGCATCAGAACAGGCACTTCAGCTTAAAATAAACCCACACCATTCAGTTTGTAATGACGTCTTCCAGACCTGTTTATCTGGATATTCATGTGAAAATACAATGAACATTTCCCTATGTTTTTCAATAATTAAAACTTGTGTTTTCAAGAACCGGTAAATGTTTAAAAGAACTGTTTTAGAAAAGTGGTGAACAAACTGTAAAACAAATGAATAATCCATGCAGTCAGGATTGGGTAAAGATTAATATTATCTCCATCACTAAATTAAGCTACGATGGATTCTTACGTCCATTTCCCCCCCCCCCCTCCCAGTAGACTGCCATCTTGTAAATACATTCTAGTTTTTTTTTATTTATTTTTTTTATTAATAATGATGAAGGAAATAAACACTGAAGACATGTGATACTATTAACCAACCAGAAACTGTGATTTCTGTATTTGAGCAGAACCGTTCCCAGCATTCCACAGCTCAAGAAGCCGCATTGGCAGGAAACCAAGGTTGATTAGAAATAGTTCATGACGTTTTTGTAAATCAAGCCTTTGAACAGAATTGACTATTATCAGCACAATGTATACACCACTTGCTATTTTATAACCTTGTCAAATTGTGAAGTGCCGCAGAAGACACTTGCTCTCTATATAAATGGTGATCGTTATAATCAGTTTTTAATTTGATGCAAAAAATTAAGCTAATAAAGTCCGTTTTTCAAACTATCAAATGCTGCGCTGTGTCTTGGGCTTGGTGATTCTCGCCATGTTTCTGGTACTTTAAAACTGTCTGATTTTCGGGGCAGTGAGTCTCAGATTATGTGGCTTCCAGTTTATAGTTGCAACACCTGCAAAATACATCCTTGGTTTTTACATGGTGTTAAAGGGACACTATAGTCACCAGAACAACTACAGCTTATTGAATTTGTTCTGGTGAGTAGAATCATTACTGTTTGCTGTAAACACTGTTTGTTTCAGAGAAAATGCAGTGTTTACATTAAAGCCTAGTGATAACTTCACTGGCCACTCATTACATGGCTGCCTGAAATGCATCCAAACATTCAGTGTCTACTCCCTCTGCATGCAGACACTGAACTTTAATCATAGAGATTCATTGATTCAATTCATCTCTATGAGGAGATGCTGATTGGCCAGGGCTGTGTTTGAATCATGCTGGCTCTGCCCCTGATCTGCCTCTTTGTCAGTCTCAGCCAATACTATGGAGAAGCACTGTGATTGGATCAGGCTATCACTTCTGATGATGTCAGCAGACTACTTTCTTTTTAGGCAAACAGCATGCAGATCTACAGCTTCAGACTTGAATACAGTAAGATTTTGCTATATTTATGGAGGCATGAGGGGCCCAGGGGGGGCTAGATGGTTGTGTTAACACTGTAGGGTCAGGAATAAATGTTTGTGTTCCTGACCCTATAGTGATCCTTTAAGTTAGCGCTGTGCTTTTTGTTTCTGTCAGGACATAGACCGCCTGTGCAGATCCATTTTGCGGTTCTGTAACAGGTTTATCTTTCACATTGTTTTGGATAGAAATTATAACCAACAGACTCGTGTTAGCCCATTAAACTCCAATGTTTTGTATGTAGGAAAACGTTCTGAGACTAGAATAAGCAATCGCATTACAATATATTCAGAAAATAAATTGAGAAAATGTGCACATAAAAATGTTAATATATTAATTAAATAAGCAAAAGTTACAAACTCTAAAAGCAGAGTAATTATTAAAGCGTAAATACTTTTCAGAAAAGTAAGTAAATATAATGTCCCAACTTAATTCGTATATTTCCGTATCTTTCCATAGAGATCAGGAAGAAGATCTGGATTGTGTATACATAAGATTCCTTTTATAGACTTTTTATTCATAAATACTAATACATTTAAATAGTAACATAATTATACTAATCAACTTATTCTATCTTAGCCTAAATCAAATATGGCCGCTTACATAACTGTATCATGATCTAGTCACTGTACTAAAGTAACATTTTAAAGGGACACTATAGACACCTGAACAACTTTAGCTTAATGAAGCAGTTTTGGAGTATAGAACATGCCCCTGCAGCCTCACTGCTCAATCCTCTGCCATTTAGGAGTTAAATCCCTTTGTTTATGAACCCTAGTCACACCTCCCTGCATGTGACTTGCACAGCCTTCCATAAACACTTCCTGTAAAGAGAGCCCTGTTTAGGCTTTCTTTATTGCAAGTTCTGTTTAATTAAGATTTTCTTATCCCCTGCTATGTTAATAGCTTGCTAGACCCTGCAAGAGCCTCCTGTATGTGATTAAAGTTCAATTTAGAGATGAGATACAATTATTTAAGGTAAATTACATCTGTTTGAAAGTGAAACCAGTTTTTTTTTTCATGCAGGCTCTGTCAATCATAGCCAGGGGAGGTGTGGCTAGGGCTGCATAAACAGAAACAAAGTGATTTAACTCCTAAATGACAGTGAATTGAGCAGTGAAATTGTAGGGGAATGACCTATACACTAAAATGGCTTTATTTAGCTAAAGTAATTTAGGTGACTATAGTGTTCCTTTCAAATTAAAGGGACACTATAGTCACCAAAACAACTACAGCTTATTGAATTTGTTCTGGTGAGTAGAATCATTCCCTTCAGGCTTTTTGCTGTAAACACTGTCTTTTCAGAGAAAATGCAGTGTTTACATTACAGCCTAGTGATAACTTCACTGGCTAGTAGAGGTGCTTCCTGTGGCAGTGCTGCACACTGTGCAGTACTGCCCTTCAGTGTCTCCACCCTCTGCATGCAGACACTGAACTTTCCTCATAGAGATACATTGATTCAATTCATCTCTATAAGGAGATGCTGATTGGCCAGGGCTCTGTTTGACTTGTGCTGGCTCTGCCCCTGATCTGTCTCCTTGACAGTCTCAGCCAATCCAATGGGGAAGCATTGTGATTGGCTCAGAGAATCACTTCTGATGATGTCCGCAGACTGGAGCAGTGCCAGCAGCTGCGGGCTTGAATAAAAGTAAGATTTTACTATATTTAGGGAGGCAAGGGGGGCCAGAGGGACTAGATGGTGGTTTTAACACTATAGGGTCAGGAATATATGTTTGTGTTCCTGACCCTATAGTGTTCCTTTAACCTTCATCTATAATCCTAAATTAAACATTCCTAATCTAATAAGAAAATAAAACATGCTCCATGAGATAATCCAATATTTTGGCTTCTTACAAGGCAAATCTGATTTTCCGACTCCTGGAGAAGATTCTCGGAGCTGACTGACCTTGTACTCACTAAACTCCTTGCAAATGTTTATATACTGACGGCATCACTACAAGTGTTCAGCTTGCATAGAAAGGAAAATGACAGAAAACTATTACAATTCTGCTTCAAATTAACCAGTTGGATTCCAAATATCCATAACAGGGATTTATTCATTCATGGTTAATTGGCCACAATTTCTGAATTAAATTACACATTGTAGGTCCAAAATAGCCAAACTGACAAAAGAGAAAAGAGATTTTTGCTTTATTTAGTTTAGCTAATTTAGTCCAACATTTATTATTCTGGCACCAAATGCCCACTGTTCCCATTTTAGTAAGTAACCACCCATATTGGGCCATTTGTGGTGTTTGTGCACGGTTTCTGATACTGTACAGTAGTAGGAGCTGGTTTAGAATTTTTTAGCTATTTAGAATTTATAGCTGAGTGATGTGACCTGATATGGCGAGTTCACCAATCACAAGTAAGCCTCCGCTACATTTATATCATTTAAGGCCTAGTTTTTCTCTCCTTAAAGATTTTTTTTTTTCCCCCCATGATCTCCTTGGTCTCCAAAATCAATTTTTTTGTGAGTTATAGGCATTAGCCAGTTTACTGCCCTGTTTTTCTGCCAGATGCATTGATAGAGATTAGCTATCTTTAAAAAGCCAACATATTCCACAGCATTGTTCAATAGGTAGGCAAGTTGGGCGTACAGTGAGAACTCAAAGCCATTTACATTTACACAAAAGGTAAAGGGTAAGATGTATCTCGTGTATGGAAAAAGTTGTTTAACGGGATGGTTTACAGTAAAATTAGATATTTTGTTGTTCAATGATGCATTTTGATGGGAGGAAGTGCAGCGGGTTAGAGAGCTGTGGGAAGGAAGGATGTTAGCACTTTAATTGAGACGATTTTTGACGAAGTGAGTTTTCAGTGATTTTTTTTTTTATTTTTTTTTTTTTTTAAGATGGAGACTGGGTGAGTGTCTAATGATGGGAGGAGGGAGTCTAGTAGAGATGCGAGAGTGAAAAAGGACAGGGCATTGTATATCTGAGCTATAACTGCCCTCTGTTTCATTAAACTCCATTACATTTACAATGTCTGAACCAGTAAAACCATGCCAGACTTCTCCGTGCTTAGATTCTGGTAGGATCTTGGCGCCATGACACGTTCTGAGATCAGATAAGCCTTGCAGGGACCGTGATAGAAACCATTAGTCCCCCTGGGACATCAGCACAGGGATAAGGGTTCATACAATGCATGTTTACATGGTGATCTGATCAGTCGGGACATGAAACAAAGAGGGTGAGTGGTAGTTTGAACTTTATGTCCCAATCATTCAATTTTTTTCAGATATGGTGAAATAAAATGGAGATGTTACTGGACTTTATGTAATAGAAGTGGCTTCAGGGCTCAATATTGATGAAAGTGGTCTCAGGGCTCAGCGTTGGTGAAAGGGACAGCAGGGCTCAATATTCATGGAAGCGACGGCGGGGGCTCGGCGTTGGCGGACGTGACGGCGGGGGCTCGGTGTTAGTGTATGTATGTTCCAGAACTGCTGGAGAAAGTCTCACTTTGCATCTGACTTTGTCCACTATAAATGTATGCTGCGCTCCTACAGCATGGCTCTTTCCTCTGCAAAAGTATATTACTTTAACACCCTCATAAGCACACTGTCCCACCAACCCAAACACCTGTTTCACACCTTTGATGCACTTCTTCGCTCTGTGACTCCCCCTCCTTCCACCACCTTGTCCGCCACAAACTTTGCATCTCATTTCACTGAGAAGATCTCTACAATCAGGAAAGAGATCTCTAATCTTTCTCCAACCAGTATCAATACATCACCCAACCCCACTCCCCCTGCCATCCTAAGCTCATTTGCACCTGCTACAGCACAAGAGGTTTCTGCTCTGCTCCTGTCCTCCCGCCCCACCACCTGCTCCCTCGATCCTATTCCCTCGCATCTCATCCGCACTTTGTCTCCCTCTCTTCCTCTCGCTTACATTTTCAATCTCTCCCTCTCCTCTGGCACATTTCCCTCTGCCTTCAAACATGCAACCGTAACCCCAATTCTGAAAAAAGCCCAACCTTGATCCCAACTCCCCATCCAACTACCGCCCTATCTCGCTACTGCCATTTGCCTCCAAGATCCTCGAGAGAGTTGTCTATGCCAGATTAACAGACTTTCTTGAATCCAACTCTCTGCTTGACCCCCTTCAGTCTGGATTCCGCGCTGGTCACTCTGTCGAAACTGCTGTGACCAAAGTATCCAACGATTTAATTGCTGCTAAATCTCGCGGCCAATACTCTATCCTAATCCTCCTTGATCTTTCTGCCGCCTTTGACACTGTTGATCATCAACAGCTTCTTCACATTCTCCGTAACTTTGGTCTACGGGATACTGCTCTCTCCTGGTGCTCCTCCTACCTCTCCCAGCGCTCCTTCAGTGTTTCTTTCTCTGGCTCTGCCTCTTCTCCCCAACCCCTCCCTGTCGGCGTCCCCCAAGGTTCTGTCCTCGGCCCCCTACTGTTCTCTATCTATACTGCCTCCCTTGGTAAACTCATCAGCTCTTTTGGCGTCCAATACCATTTATATGCAGATGACACGCAAATCTACCTGTCCTCCCCTGATCTCTCTCCGCCCACCTTGACTCGTGTTTCTGACTGCCTCTCTGCTATTTCCAACTGGATGGCTGCTCACTTCCTTAAACTCAACCTGTCCAAAACAGAACTTCTAGTTTTTCCTCCCTCAAGTGCTGCTACTCCTGTGTCTGTCTCCATCCAAGTCAACGGCGCTACTATCACCTCTACCTCCCAGGCTCGCTGCCTAGGGGTTCTTTTTGATTCTGATCTCTCTTTTACTCCCCATGTTCAATCGATAGCCAAATCCTGTCGCTTCCAACTCAAGAACATAGCGCGCATCCGCCCATATCTAACGCCGGACGCGGCTAAGGTACTGGTTCATGCTGTTGTTCTCTCTCGCCTTGACTATTGCAATCCCCTTCTCACCGGTCTTACATGTTCCCAGCTTGCACCGCTGCAATCTATAATGAATACGGCTGCGAGGCTTATTTTCCTGTCCGGTCGCACCTCCCACGCCTCCACGCTCTGTCAGTCCCTGCATTGGCTTCCAGTTAGATATAGGGCCCAATTCAAAATTCTGGCGCTTGCTTACAAATCACTACATAATGCTGCTCCAACATACCTATCCTCCCTCATACACAAGTATGTCCCGTCGAGACCCCTGCGCTCAGCCCAAGACCTACGCCTATCCTCTGCCCGGATCCCCACCTCTGATGCTCGCCTTCAAGACTTCTCCAGGGCTGCACCTATTCTGTGGAACTCCCTTCCCTCCTCAATCAGACTTTCACCCAGCCTTTGAAAACTCACTTCTTCATTAAAGCGTATTAATTAAACTGTCAGCAGGTTTCTCATATCTGACCCCATGACTCCGTTCCTGCACCTGTCAAAAATGACCTACCAAGCACTCAATAAACCCTTCTGTAACAAACTATTTAATTCCCCTACTTTAACCCTTTGTGTCACTATAACCCACTCCCTCTAGCATGTAAGCTCATCGAGCAGGGTCCTCAACCCCCTCTGTTCCTGTACGTCAGTGGTCTGATCTCAATTATGTGTCTGTTAGTCCACCCATTGTACAGCGCTACGGAATTTGTTGGCGCTATATAAATAATAATAATAATAATAATAATAATAATGTATGTGACTTTCAATAGCACTGAAGGAGTTAACACCCCAGCGTTTGTTTTGCAATACATATATTATAGAGGTTTATTTCTTTCTCTGTAAATCTTTCTTGTCTGGTTTCCATCCAGTAACAAATTCTTTCTATTCAATTAAATCTTCTTCTGTATCTCGCAGGATTTCCGAACATTATTTTTACTGTATTGTTCCAAAAATATCACGGGAAATCAGTCTGAGTCATTAATGTGTCATTGGAGCCGGCCAGTAATGGGAAAGATTATTAATAATTAATTCGTTTTATTTTTAACTTTTATTTAAAGGTAAATTCTAAAAGTTATTCTAAGATGTTATTTCTGAACGGCAGAACACAATCTGTACGTGACGCAGGACAACGGCCAGCATGAAAAACTAATATCGGTTACATGAGATGTTCTACAAACAATGCTGCTCTCTATTTACTTCTTTTTTTTGTTACTCCTCTGCTGGCACTGGAAATAAGAACTGGGGTTTATAATCTGAATATAGTCCTTCCTTAGAATTAGGTAGAGAATTACCAGGATATATAGCTACACTGCCTTTATAGGGTTAAATATTGTTTATGCATGTGTTCACAGGATGTCTAGTAGCAAGCAGACAATGAGAGAGAGGGAGAGTAAGACTGGGAAGGATAAAGTACAAATGTGACTTTATTTTTTGTTTTGTTTGTTTACATGCACTTCCCCATCACCATTCAGGATGAATCAATGCATCTCTATGAGGAAAATTCAGCGTCCCCATGCAGTGCTGCCTACTGTGCAGCACTGAGCCAGGAAGCACCTCCAGTGTCCATCTGAGTAGTGTTCCTAGGGGCAATGTAAAGTGTTTGCATGAAAATGCTTGAAAGAAATGATTATACTCATCAGAACAACTACATTAAGCAGTAGTTTTGTGACTATAGTGTCCCTTTAAGCTTTTAAAAAATAAAATACATGCTAATTTGTGCACCTTGAAACTTGTATTGATTTCTTTTAGTTCATTGTAATCCGTTGTGATGAGCGCTGGCCTGTGTAATTAACAGGTGTATTGGAGGTGATTGCTAGTGATTTATTACCGACCCACTGACAGTCACGTGATGAAGTCTCTGTCTCCATTTACCTAGAAACTAATTGCTTTTGGCTGCAGTAACTACGGACAACCAAATTACCATCACAATATCGGCATAGCAGATCACGCGGCCCTCTTAACATTTCATCGTTGGTTTCAAGAATCCCCCCTTTCTACCCTGCTTTTGGGAAATCTCTGCCAAGGCTTTAAATAAGGCTCTTCCTTGTAGCCAATGCAAATTAATTATTGATCTTGTGGAAGGGAAATTGTCCGGCTATAACAAAGAGTTCGTTCTCAGATGGTGAATCCTGCCCAGATTAAGAGCTCCTTCTCAGAGATTGTTAGGGAGAAATAAAGCAATTCCTTTTGCGTTCCGGATCTTGTAACTTATTTACTGTTTACGGTTTCAGTTACTCTTTCATAACCTTAAAGACGGACCCCTAGTACCAGCATTGTTACTTCTGTGATCATTAGTTGTTTCTAAAAGCTAGTTTAACAATCTCTGACAGCGTAGCTATGTGCCATAATAATTGTAAAGCACATTAAAAACGCTTACAAATTGCATTGGTTGTTTTTCAGTTTGCTTAGCTTACTTTTATTTTATTAAAAAGTGTGTGTGTATATAGTTTAGCATTATTCTTTTTCACCTGAGTTCAGAGAATCTGGCCAAGCTGGAAACGAATCTGCAAATCACAGGTTCTGATTTGTCTGTTGAAATCACATGCTCTCTACAGACCCGCATTTTATTTGGTTTCTGTGATTGTTTGGAAATAAAGATCTGATTACAAAATAAGTTATTGCTATTTGTTTTAAATAGGTTTTTATTGTCGTTACATTGTATAAGCGGACATCAAGCATATTATTACGAAAACATCCGGTCGCCTATGCAGAGGCGTATACATATTGGTACCAGTAAACGGAACGTTTGCATTTAGTTTAGTGAAGCAGGCGTGTACTCTGTGTACTTTACAACATATTTCCTGGGTTTGCAGGACCTAGTGTGATTTGGGTTTGTGTGTTCGCCTCGTGTGAGCCAGTTTGCGTAGGTGTTTTGTGGTGGCTAGTTTGTGCTTGTGCTTTTTCTTAGCTGGTTTGTGTAGTCTCCTCATGTTGGTTGTCTGTGTAGTTGCGCTGAGTTGGCTGGTTTGCGTTGCTGCTTTGCGTTATCTGGTTTGTGTAGTTGCTTTGCGTTTGTTTGCTTTTACTGTTGTCTCGCATTAGCTAATATGTTGTAGGTATGATTATCTTTTATCTGTGTAATCCTTGCGTATGTACCCTATGTAGTCGTGGTGGTGCCTGCGCAGCTGGATTGCGCATTGGCTATCTGGTATGGGTTATTGCTATTTGTACAGCATTAATAGTATTTAGTTCATGGGATGTGCAGAACCGAAAATTAGGATATTATGAAATTAAGCTCATATTTTAGTTTCTGCCTAGGTTATTATTCTTATTTATAAAGCGCCAACAAGTTCGGCAGTGCTGTACCATGGGTGGACTAACAGACAAGTATTTGTTACCGGACAAGTTGGACGTACAGGAACAGAGGGGTTGAGGACCCTGCTCAATGCGCTTACATGCTAGAGGGAGTGGGGTATAGTGACACAAAAGGTAATGGTAGTGGTAGAGATAGGTTGCTAGGATAGGTTCACAGTCCAGTCTGTATAGTATGCAGTTTGCTCAGCCTCCTTACAGCCAAAATATCTGGTGCTTGTGAGACACCGCTTTTTTTTTTGTGCGGGTTGTCCTTTCCGTGCGGTTCTCTAGCTTGTAATCACCGAGGTACGTGAATCCGTAAAAATGACGGATGTGCTGGGAAATTTATATTTAACACGTTTTAGGCTGCGGTTGAAGTCCTTTTAATTACGGAATGCATTAAAAAATGGAGAGAAAATGTAATTGTGTTAAACATGATGTGGCTTAGATTTTTTTAGATATCGTGAAATCAATCTCCGCTATGTAAATTATTTAGACAGCTGCCATGGAAGAGACTGTCTCTTTACATGACACAGCCATTGCTTTGCTGTCAAAATCTATGGGACTCTGCTTGTCACTATAAATCCCCTAACTATCAAGAGTAATCAAGGGGAAACTGGTGCAAATTGATATCTTTATGGTGCTCCGTTGCTGTCGTCTCATGGGCTCTATTACTTTCTTTTTGGTGACTGATTTGCTTTAGATGAATTGCAGCATAATGAATCGGTATTATAGACAAAAATCTGTTTAATTTTATTTGGGTTTATATCAAGTTTTATTATATATATAATTATTTTATTTTTTTCAGGTACATGGAGAAATCAACAAAGTGGAATTTAATAGAATGTGCTGGACTCTATGTGCAAAGAAAAATCTCACTAAAAGCCTGTTGTGTATCACAGAGGAGAGTGCCTTTAAAATATGGGCCATATTCAACTTTTTATCTGAAGACAAGTACCCTCTGATCATTGTCCCTGAAGAGGTAAGTGCATGTGGCTTGTGTGCCCCCCCCCCCCCTATCTCTCCTCCCATGGTTTGAGGGGACATTGTTTTGCCCCTGGATTGGAGCACTACATAAAAGGAAGCCATTGCTGATGTCATGTGATGTCCTCGGTAGACGCTCACAACTTTCGAAAGAATCCCACTTCCTCTTGGTCAGAAGGCAGAACCACATGCCTGTCATGGTCCGAATGCTAGATAAAGCTGTTAAATGTTCATATAATCTGTATATTTATTATCTGGTCCCAATCACAATCCAACACTCTAGCATTCTGGGTAAATAGATCAGGTAATTTTGTTTCATTAGTAAATATATTGTATATTATATCTTTTAATTACTGATTTATTTTTCTATTAGGTCTACAGATGTTGATATTTACATATTTTGTATTTCAATACTGAAGTGCTAGAACTTGTATTGGATGAATAAGTTGTCATGTTCTCTCCTGGTGATTACAAAATGCCTGTATATAGTAATGTATAATATATATATATATATATATATATATATATATATATATATATATATATATATATATATATATATATATATATATATATATATATATAATGTGATACTCGTTAGGATATCGTGCAAAAGTTTATTTCAGTAATGAAACATAAAAGGGTAAACTAATATATGAGATAGACGCATAACATGCAGAGCAAGATAGTTCAAGCCGTGATAAGTGCGATGATTATGGCTTACAGCTCATGAAAACCCCAAATCCACAATCTCTGTAAATTAGAATATTGTGAAAAGGTGCAATATTCAAGGCTCACAGTGTCCCACTCTAATCAGCTAAGTAAGCCATAACACCTGCAAAGGGTTTCTGAGCCTTTAAATGGCCTCTCAGTCTGGTTCAGTAGGAATCACAATCATGGGGAAGACTGCTGACCTGACAGTTGTGCAGAAAACCATCATTGACACCCTCCATAAGGAGGGAAAGCCTCAAAAGGTAATTGCGAAGGAAGTTGGATGTTCCCAAAGTGCTGTATCAAAGCACATTAATAGAAAGTTATGTGGAAGGGAAAAGTGTGGAAGAAAAAGGTGCACAAGCAGCAGGGATGACCGCAGCCTGGAGAGGATTGTCAGGAAAAGGACATTCAAAAGTGTTGGGGACTTTCACAAGGAGTGGACTGAGGCTGGAGTCAGTGCATCAAGAGCCACCACACACAGACGAATCCTGGACATGGGCTTCAGATGTCGTATTCCTCTTGTCAAGCCGCTCCTGAACAACAAACAACGTCAGAAGCGTCTTACCTGGGCTAAAGAAAAACAGACCTGGTCTGTTGCTCAGTGGTCCAAAGTCCTCTTTTCTGATGAGAGCAACTTTTGCATCTCATTTGGAAACCAAGGACCCAGAGTCTGGAGGAAGAATGGAGAGGCACACACTGCAAGATGCTTGAAGTCCAGTGTGAAGTTTCCACAGTCTGTGTTGATTTGGGGAGCCATGTCATCTGCTGGTGTTGGTCCACTGTGCTTCATTAAGTCCAGGGGCAATGCAGCTGTCTACCAGGAGATTTCGGAGCACTTCATGCTTCCTTCCGCAGACGAGGGGGATGTTGACTCATTTTCCAGCAGGACTTGGCACCTGCCTACACTGCCAAAAGCACCAAGGCCTGGTTTAATGACCGTGGGATTACTGTGCTTGATTGGCCAGCAAATCAAGGCCAAGAGAAAGATGAGACATGAGTCCGAACAATGCAGAAGAGCTGAAGGCTGCTATTGAAGCATTCTGGTCTTCCATAACACCTCAGCAGTGCCACAGGCTGATATCTTCCATGCCATGCCGCATTGAGGCAGTATTTGCTACAAAAGGGACCCAAACCAAGTACTGAGTCCATATGCATGCTTATACTACGATATTGTTCTATGTACACTCCTTGTTTTATTGATTGCATGTAATATTCTAATTTACTGAGATTGTGTATTTGGGGGTTTTCATGAGCTGTAAGCCATAATCATCGCACTTATGACAAATCACGGCTTGAACTATCTTGCTTTGCATGTAATGCATCTATCTCATATATTAGTTTCCCCTTTTACGTTGCATCACTGAAATAAATGAACTTTTGCACGATATTCTAATTTTTCGAGTATCACCTGTATATCTGTTTCCTTTTGCCCTTGTACCCTTTAACCCCTTAAGGACACATGACATGTGTGACATGTCATGATTCTCTTTTATTCCAGAAGTTTGGTCCTTAAGGGGTTAAATCTGCCTCATCTGTTTGGAGACAAAACCAGTTTTGCTATTTTTGTGTCAGTGGGGAAATCCCACTTTTTCATTTTTACATTTATTTGGCTTGATTTATTTAGAATTTGTGCTTTCATAACCTTGGACTCTATTTTTAATATTTTTTGGATAAGGTTTTCAAATGATTCCAATCTGTTAGAAAAAATGGATTTGTCCACAATAGTCCCCATTAAAGTTTATGGGAATTTTTGCAGGTAATTAATGTCAAATGTTTTTCTAACAGATTGTGGTAATTTGAAAAGATTATCCAAAAATATTAAATGTATACCTTTGTTTGCGCCGGGTATAATTTCTGTTTAAAACTCTGTTAATCATTAATGAAAAGGTTCTTTTTGACTGCTGTATCTGTTTTATGTGAGTGTAAAGCTTTCTTGTTGCAGCTCTGCATGATACAACTAACAAGACAATTCTTATTTCCCGTCAATCTGGTTAATAATAAAACGGCGGGTCCTCTTGTCAGGAGTCTGTTTACCTGAAAGGGGCTAAGGGGACCTGCTCTGCCAGAACATAGTTTGCACACTGAGATTTAAGACTAGGGTCAAGACCCACTATACATGGGCCTGGATCGATATGCTTCACACAATCTAATACGTATTGTATACCGGGGAATGGCTGAAATCTGTTAAATAGTATCCAGAATCCCCAGTGTGCGCCATTTATCCTTCTTCAGTAAAAAGGAACTAACCGTAATGCCTCTATAATTATTGTTGTTGTTACTAGCATAACCTATCAAACAGCACGGTACAACAGGAGATAGACCATACTGTATACAAATAATAAAGATGGCCTAGCCCTGAGGTGAGATTTAGTGACATTCATTACGGTATGCACCTGGCTTTAAAAATTTCTATTGTTTTTGTAGATGTTTTGTTAAACTGAGACTTACTGTCAGGGCTTTCATTTTTGCGGAGCACATTATGTTTTGGAAAATTACTGGCCCATCCAGATAACAGCAGTATATACCCGCCTGGGCTCGCACTGGGGCTGTAAAGATAGCCTCTGTCGTTTGTGGGTGGTAGAGCGTGTGTACCCTGATAATTAATGTACAAGTACACACGTTGTAGGATCTTTAATAAAAGGAGATGTTTGTTGATTAGTGAATACTGCTATTTTGTGTTTCATCAGTAAACTGCAACTTAACCGAAAGTATTATTTTACTATTGGCAGAACACATAATAAAAACCACTAAAAATAAGCTTCACTTAGTTAGAGATGATGATAATCTATACATTGAAATGATAATCTTCCTCAGAGCATTATTAGCTAGAAGGCCTCATTCACTATCCCTATGTGAAGAATGAAGAGGGGCCACACCGGCACCCTGCCTCGGCCCTGTGGGATCTAATACTTTATGGGCTTTACCCCAGCCAATGTCTAAATATGGCCATATAATTTATCATATAGTGTGACTGCAATAATGTCTGTATGTCTATATAATGTCGGTCTGGGACTCCCTAGCGGCTGTGTGAGGGAATCACTAGTGCTAAGAAGAGTTTTAAATTCATGTTTCTTTACATGACGTGGTGATCTTTGTACATCAGCCCCAAATGTAAAGATGCATAAATCAAAGATGTATATGTTTTTATGACCTGCACATGACATTTATAAATCTACATTATAGTGTGCGTACTCTGCAGTGTGTATGTAATCCGATTCCTGTCCGTAACAGCCGTTGCCAAAAACTTCCTCTTTCTGTCATTTCTGCATTTTTTTTAATTTTTTTTTTTTACAAAAACTAAGCACAAAAGGGGGTTAAACATTAAAAAAAACTGCTTACCCAGTGATTATTTTAAAACCATTCTGAGTCTTAATGTAAAATCCCAGGTCAGAGTCACAGTGTTCCTTCAAATAATCTTAAAATCAATGTGAGGAACAAGGCAGGTTTATAGTGCACTAAGGGAGAGATTTACTGAGTGGAAATCCCTGTCATTTAACAGGTCTCGTTGAGAGAGACATCGCTATAACAGACACCGAGAGCTTACAGGGAGCATAGAGAGACAGATGGACTTAAGTGGAGTAGAGAGACCGTGAGAGTGCGTAGTGGAGTATACAGAGAGATCTTGAGAATGCATTGGAGTTTAGAAAGAGACGCAGTGAGGGAATGCAGTTTAGTATACAGAGAGACAGACAATATGCGAATGCAATGGAGTGTAGAGAGAGAGAGAGACAGCAAAGGAATGTAACACAGGATATCATTAAAGTATAACATTGTATATGTACACGTATAACTTTCTAACCCCTTTCGGATCTAGAATTAATTGGTTTCCTGTTGGGCCCAGCTCCCTGATTGTCTCTCACCCTGACCGGATGTAGTTTTTCAGGATCCGGTTTCATTAAGCATTGACTCTTCAACCTTTTATGACCTACCTGGGACAAAGCATTCTGACAGCTTGGCTTATTTACGATTTTGAGAAAGACCTGTACATCCAGTTTGATACCATGTAGTCTGGTCCTGAGTAAGGTCATTGTGGGTGAAGCTTGGCCAGTGTCCAGTAAATAAGGTTCCACCATGGTGTGCCGGTTATCAGAAGCATCGCTTGGATTTGTACAAGCTGTATTTCATTCATCCATTTCAAGCGGAGGCCAAGATAAACTGGCGACCTTGAGCCTGATAAGGATATGGTGGCATTCGGAATACAGTGTTCAAGCCGGTCCGTGGCATCTGTACCTAGCAATGTCATTGGTGACTGAGGCCAACGGAGAGTGCAATACAGAGTTTGGTTAAATGAAAATTGTCTCCTTTTGCAAGGAACCATCTGATGGAATGATGTACCTAGTTCTACAAGCGACAGATGGCGATGATGTGAATGAAATACATAAAAGAACAAGGACCAGGTGCCTTTTCATTGTTTGAGATCTGTTTGGCTGTTCTGTGATAGAAACCTCTTGATACCCAGAGTGCAGCATTACGGACATGACATGGACCATGTTTATCGAATGTCATTAATACAATATTTAGATAGAACTATGGTAGAAGGGCACATTCTTCCTGTGTTATCCGTGGTAAGGACAGAAATTGCCCCAGGATCACAGCAAACAAATTAACTATGTATATAGCATGTTTACTCCTTAAATAAATAGCTATTTTATTTATGAATAATTTATCAGAAAAAGTGTTTCAGTATTCTGCTTCCTCCATCATAAAGCTCTGGAGGTCTTTATGGTCCACACAGAGAGCTCAACCTCTTGCTGTCTGAGTTAATAAAGGTGATGGTCCATCTCAATGGTTTCCTACTATCAGGGAAGCAGATCCTACATCTCTCTATGCAGCCAAAACACAAAATATACAACAACAAAAGTAAAAATAGAGATTATTCTCTGTAACCAAAGCTGGGGGAACCAGACCTTCTTCAGAAATAAAAAGAATAGCTCCCATTTCATCCAGGCTTCATACACACTATTACTTACTACAAATCCCATAATCCTTTCTGCATTTTCTGTTGGTAGCCCCACATTAATTAAGTAGTGTCTCTGCCTGTGTAGAATAGAACCGTAAATCTGTTTAACTCGTTGATGTGGACAAACCGTGGCAGCCACGGGCTATGAAGGGGTTTACAGGTCTCTAAACTTGAGGGGCATCTAGCTGGTTTTCTACATTATTTCCCATCATTTTTTATTTTGTTTTGCCAGTTTGTCTGCTCGCAGGGAATTATGGGAAATATAGTCCTGGTTAGAGAATAGTAAAGTAAACAATGTGTTTAATGATTCTTACACAATGAGTTGTATGTATGTATATAATATGTATATGATCAGGGACATGACGGGAAAGTCCCACATCCTGGTTCTCAGAGGGGTAATACACCTTTAAATGACTGAGGAGTGTAGGGAGAGATAAGGATTAGACAGATATAAGCATTCTCTGATCAGCTAGAAATTAATCTAAAATGCAATTTCTAGAGAATAATTTCCGGTTTCATGATATCTGCGATGTGTCATTTATTAGCTCTGTAACGGGAAATAAAGAAAGCATTCACTGCAATATAAGGAAGCCGTGTGATGTAAATGGATTTTATCTCATTCTGCCTCAAACGGCATAAGTTGGAGTTTTAAAAAAAAAAAAAAAAAAGAATTTTTGATGACAAATCCGTTTTTAAGTTTCAGAATTGTTTTCTTCATTGTAATTTCGACATCTTGGTTGAGTTCAGCTGAGAATTTCTTCATTGTGTGAATGCAAACGTCCCATACTCTAAATACCAGCACAACAGTCACGAGCTGACACGGGGGAAATTAACCCTCCACAGGCCACAGCCACCACCATACAGGACATCAAAGAGATCAAGTATGGCCATAGAATGCTCGTTAATTAGCATTAACCCATTGGATGCCACAACGCATTGTTTTACAAATCATTCATTTTAGCATTGCCGAGGTGCTTTACACCAAACTTTAATAAATGTTGTATCAACGACACAGTTCTGGTATCATTACAAAAAAGCCTTTTTTTTTTTTTTGCTGTGAACTCTAACTCATATTCACCTGGCTGAGAAGGCTAGGAGTTGCAGTGCACAGCATTTATCATGGTTCTAGTGCAACCTTCTTAAGAAAGTGGGGTACACCACAGGAACCTGTGCTATAATGCAGCTCCCCAATATAAACAGCGCTGTGCTCTTCAGATTTGTGAGCAGACATTTGACATTTTTGTCAACAAGTGGATCTGGAATTGTGGACTTTAGGAAAAATAGTTTAACTAGAAAATATCCTTGTCAGACTGGACTGTTTTGTCCTAAATTTTTTTTTTGTTTTGTTTTCCGTTCACCTTAACGGGACACTATAGTCACCAGAACAACTCCAGCTTGTTGTATCTGTTCTGGTGAGTAGAAGCATTCACTTCAGGCATTTTGTAATAAAGTCTTCTCAGAGAAATGGTTTATATTATAGCTTAGGGACACCTTAAGTTAAATTAGGGCCAAATAATGGAGCAGTATATGTGCTGACTTATTATTGTGTGAAATAAAAGTTACAAGGAACTTTATCTAATCTTTCATTATCTTAAATAAAACTGTGACAATGTGATCTTATCCTAGCGGAATGAAACCATATGTGAAGTGACGGCTATAATGTTACAGAATTATTTCAGCCACCAATTTATTATTAAAAAGTGCAAACATATTCTTAGTGCCTTACAGAAAACATAAACAAGGGGAAATATAAGATACCAAATGTGACTTTTACAACTGCCTAGCTCCATTTTATCATCTCACTTTGAGTTTGATTCGTTCCTTTGAATTTCCTCGTTTTGTATTTTCTGTGAATTTTTAGATCTGAGGAAAGAGACATCGAAAAGGGACGAAAAAAATATTTTCAACCTAAACTAAACAATTTGATCCCCTATAAAATATACTCTGTCCGATACCAATACTACTGGAAAAGGGGCATTGGGTAACTACTATCCCCAGCTCCATTGTCCATTGACAGCATGTATATATATGGCAGTGATAGCAGGAGGGGGAATGTTTCCATATATGTATTCTGCATTCTGATGTGATATTTTGTTACACAGATTGAATATTTGCTGAAGAAGTTAACGGAAGCCATGGGAGGAGGGTGGCAGCAAGCTTTGTTTGAAGATTACCGAATCGGTCTTCACAGGAAGCAGAATGGTTTATCTGCATGGGAACTCATCGAGCTGATAGGCAGCGGAGAGTTTAGTAAAGGAATGGACCATACCACCGTCTCCATGGCAATTAACGAGGTCTTTAACGAGCTGGTACTGGATATCCTAAAACAGGTACGTAGAGCTACTGAGATGTCCCCAGTTTGGGTTCAGTCATTGGGGCTACACGTCCAGAACTACTACGCAACACGGTGATAAAAGTGGAGCAAACAGCAGAAAAATACCATTGGTTTCCATGGTGACTGCTCCACATTTAGCACCGCATTGCTGTTTACAGATCACTCCCATTGTGCAATATAAATGTCCAACGGACGACAATACTCAGATATTTTTTTTTGTAGTTTCTTTAAAATGATTTGGCTGCGGTTTCACATGTAAGGAATTTAAAACCGGATTTATTTAGGAAAGATTGAGGTTTATTCACTAATTGTGGAAATGTGAAGAGTAACATTACACATTTAGATCATAATAATCAATAATTCCCCAGCACGGCTAGTTGGGCCTAATATCTACATTTCTCTGGTCTGATTTCCATATTTCCAAGATTCGTAAATAAACCCCAAGAAGAATGTTAGATATTAGATTTTGCAAGGTCCCCCAGATGCTCAGATATACTCTAGGCAAGTTCATAGCTGTCAGATTGGCTGCTAAAATAAAGTCACACTCCCGTGTGAGACATTACAAGTACCTGGACATTTCTCCAATGTAATGTCGTCCTTAACTGCAGATTCATTAAATTGCTTTCGTTTAATGATTATTTTTGTAGTATTTTGAAGTTTAACTTTGGCATTCACGTTGGGAACATGAAAGCAACTCTACATGATCCGTGTCAGGTTTTACCTCCTAAATGTGGAATAAACCGGCATTGTGTCATGATCTAGAACTGGTGCAGAAAGAGATTGGAATTCATACATAATAAATGGCAACCAGGGGGAGATCAACAACATTTAAATGTGCTCATGAAATTATATGAATAAATGAAACATGTGGGGACTGCAGTTGAATGTCTCTGAGTATACTTAACATACAAAGATGGTATTCCAACGTGCAAAAACAGCTTACAGCGGTTATTCATTTCCGCAAACTACAACTCCCACGATGCTCAGCCAGGGTTTTAGACTACCTGTACAAGTCAGCATTATGGGAAATGTAGTTTGTAAAGCTCTGTGATGGCAAGGTGTGATATCACTGACTCATTTGCAAGTCTAGAAATATCACAGAGAACACATTGAATATAAAACCTCTCTAGCTGCCCCACTCAGCTGCTTTATTTAGATGGGGCTCTGGTTCCACCTAGTGGATAATAGGTTAAAGTCATTGCACTTACAAATCTATAACCACAGGAAGCGTTCTATATAAACATTTATGGCAATCTGTGTTGAGTCATGCTGACTGTAGGTTGAGAAAATTGCAAATAAACTTGTTACAATCTAAGCTGTTTTTCAAATGTGCTTTTCAACATTTACTGGTTAGTAAACCCATTTAAAGGGACACTATAGTCACCAGAACAACTACAGCTTATTGAATTTGTTCTGGTGAGTATAAACATTACCTTTAGGCTATTTGCTGTAAACACTGTCTTTTCAGAGAAAATGCAGTGTTTACATTACAGCCTGGTGACAACTCCACTGGCCACTCCTTGGATGGCTGTTAGAGATCCTTCCTGGGTCATGGCTGCCTAAAATGCATCCAAACATTCAGTATTTCCACCCTCTGCATGCAGACACTGAACTTTCCTCATAGAGATTCATTGATTCAATCCATCTCTATGAGGAGATGCTGATTGGCCAAGGCTGTGTTTGAATTGTGCTGGCTCTGCCAATCCTATGGGGAAGCACTGTGATTGGATCAGGCTACCACTTCTGATGATGACAGCAGGCAGGTTTAAAAGAAACAGGCACAAAATAAGCAGCCGCAGACTTGAATGCAAGTAAGATTTTACTAGATTTAGGGAGGCATGAGAGGGACCAGGCTGGCTAGATGGTGGTTTTAACACTATAGGGTCAGGAATACATGTTTGTGTTCCTGACTCTATTGTGCTCCTTTAATTTTACGTTTCATAACCGTTAGTTAGAAAAACTTATTTTTTTTTAAATTAACGGATTAAGTCCAAAAATCAGCAAAATAGTTTGGCAGGTCACCATTCATTACTTGTGATAGTCCTTTTCCCATGCAGGATGTGTTTTTATAAAATCTCTAAATTTACTGTATTTTTGGTTAGTAATTTAATGAATGTAAGCTCATGACTCCATTACTTTATTCACACTTTATTGTGTATTTTAATTAAACGTGGAAAAGGGTTTATTCGCTAAAGTGAGTTTTACATTTACAGCCAAAATAACCAAAAAGGAAACATTCTTCCTCCGCTGTCTGTGCTATCAGTTTGGCTACTTTGGCCTTAAATTCACTTTAAGTTCCCCGTTTAGTAAATTGTGATAAGACTAGCACTCGCACATGAACTTTAACCATTACACAATAATCCCAGCAATGTACATGAGGTGTGTTTTATTTTGTGTGCACATTTCTTTGAACGTAATAAAATAAACCACATTGTGAGTGGCCAGCTTGACCGCTGAGCTGGCAATCTTAACAGAACAGAAGCCCTGACACTGTGATCTGTCCTCTGCAGGGTTACATGTGGAAGAAAGGACACAAGAGAAAGAACTGGACCGAGCGGTGGTTTGTTCTGGAGCCCAACATGATCACATATTACATCGGCGAAGATCTAAAGGACAAAAAGGGAGAAATTATTTTGGACGGGAACTGCTGTGTTGAGGTAAAATAAATACATTTAAGCAACCACACAAAATATCTCAAAGCGAGCCCTTTCTCTCTGGAATACGATGTTCGCACAGCCCCCCAACGATATGGGGAGACTTAGAAATGTCCTACTAATAGAAAATGTTAAGGCAGCAAGAAAGATTCCCAGGCACTCAAAGTGTGAAAACCGCAAGCCGATTTATTGAAACAAAAAAGACTCTCAGTAGGTCGAAACGTTGCTGTCTTTTTGATTCAATAAATCTGCCTGCGGTTTGCACACTTTGAGTGCCTGGGAATCTTTCTTGCTGCCTTAACGTGTTGGGATTGCTGGGCCTGTTCCAGAGCACCGGTGGCTGCTGGGATTGAGTGCGGTTCCTGTGATCAATTTTACTAATAGAAAATGTGACAATTGCCATGAAAACCAATGGAATGGTCCTGCTGTTTCCGTGGTGATTGCCCCAGCGGTTATATCGTTCTAGACTCACCATCTTATTATTATGAGTAAATAATAATTATTCACTTTTAGGCTGAAATAACCGTAATGGAGAAATTGCCCAATTTGACTATTTTGATCTACAATTTGCGGTGCCATACCGTGCCAATATTTATACATTTCTCAGGCAGTGAGAGTGTTGACGAGATGAGTTTGAGAAGCTTCCCGTTTCGGGATTAATTCAGTAAACTCTGAATTATAGCAAATTAAAACCTGAATATAAAGTTTAGACTAAAATAATCACACCATGAATTGCAGAATGTATCCAAATCTCCTATTGTAGCCTCAGTTGTGCAGTTCTGCTTCAGTTCTCTACACTTCCAGGTTTATTGATGAAGTGTAATGCTGTTTAAATTGAATAGTGGTCCTTTTTATTTTAATCTGGGTATTTCACAGTATTATGTAACAGTTGGATTGCAGATGGCAAGAGTTGGGGCACAGAATGAAGGGTTTTGCCTTTCAATGCCCGTTGTGTAAGCTGGCTGAAGGACAGATGAGAGAATTCTACCCACGTCGGCTCTATAAATGCTCCTCTGTTTTTATCTGCAACTTTACCGCACATCTGTGTGACCTTCCTGCTACGATTCCCAAGCCAAGTGCGTTAAATAGGGGGCTTATTAATATATATTCTTGTCAGTCCCATACAGACTGAAACCTCTCCAATTCGTGGGGGGACAAATGACACTAGCTTAGAGCCTCAGCTGCTGAAGAATGTCTTGGCTGCTGTTCTTTGTCTATTTAAAAACAGAATATTACTGAGTGGGTAATGATGAGATATCAGGGTATCGCTATATGAATATTCTTCCTATAAAAGTAAAAAAAAAAAAAATATATAAGTATAGCAACCAAAACAACTGTACAGCTTCCTCCCACAACACCTGGACTTTGTACAATGTCACACATCTGACCGGCACAATGTACAGAACGCTGTTTCCCTGAAGCTAACCTACTCGTTTACACTTTATTCTGGTTGGTAAGTTGACCAAGGCGCCTGCTACATTCATTCTAGGCATTATTAGACGTAGGGCTAGAGTGAGATTTGTAACAAATTCAAAGTGACTCTCAAATTTTAAATTAACTTAGAATTTCTGACAATTCTCACTTTAGAAAAATAACCACAATGAAATCGATCAGGGCTCAGATCTGAGCTGTAGCACCCCCTAGTGATGTATTTAAAAGCCGTACCAGACTGGACTTTAAACTATGGTAAGAATTCTGTCTATGTATCACAGTGCAGTCATTTAGCTGTCCCAGGTTGTGGAGTACCAGGAGAGTATTCGTATAATTTGGGCCTGTGCTTTCTCTTTCTGTTTGTAGAAATGAAAGGGGGACTTTTAGGCCAATCGATAAGCAAAGTGCACAGGGATACAGCTCCCCGCACCCCTCTTAATAGGAGTCACACTCGGAAAATTTTAAAATGTCTTGCTTTCTCTCCTAGTCATTGCCAGATAAAGATGGGAAGAAATGCCTGTTCCTGGTGAAATGTGTGGAAAAAAGCTACGAGATCAGCGCATCGGACAAGAAGAAGAAACAGGAGTGGATCCAAGGTGAGCTGCAGACTGGATATTAACTATTCGCCATTCAGCTAACCGGGTGGTTGGAGATGGTTGGGTCGTTACGTTATTTTTTAGTTTATTAAGTTGGACATTAATTTGTATTATTAGCATTGTATAGGAACCAAATTACCCATTTACGCCAACATTGTGTTATTTAGTTTAAAGGTTCGAGAAGTACACGGAAAACCACGGATCCAAGACTATCACGGGCACAACACTGGTGCCCCTCAAAATCCCTCCTCTAACCCCCCACCCCCCTTTTTTCCCTCTCTCTTCCCCATCTTCCTGTGTCTTCTTGTTCTCCTTTCTACACCGCTTGCTCTCTTTCCCTGCCCTCGCGCAAGATTCTGACCCCGTTGACCGTGCGCACTAGTCCCAACCACAGCGGGACGGGAAGGTACGGCAAATTTGGGCCACAGGTCATATACGGATGCTCCGCTAATCTCCTAATGCCCACTATTATAGACTGATCCAACTGATTACACCACCCATTCGACGTAACAGGGTCTGCGCAAGGAGTGCGCGGTTCTGGGCAATGAGACTTCACGTACTATAAACCTACTATATACCAATACTGTATGGGAAGATAAGTCCCCCCCCTATGAACTCCGCTTTCAGGTTAGCTATACCATAGCCAATATAGTGGCTCCTATCCACCTAGAAGTTATTGCTAGGTTACATACCATCACTACGATATCAGGCGACTTTTGGCCACCTACTACACAGTCTCCGACTTGATCACCCAGAGTTGACACAATCACTACTTACTATGCGGCCCTACGATTCAGACATTTGCATATTAAACGCATGTACCATAAAGAGTTTACCAATACTGATGTTTTATTACCTCCTAATTGATAATACTGTTTAAGTTTACATTCATTTGCAATCATATTGCTATTTACGACTATGCGAGACCTGTGTGTCTCCTATGTTGCTATTCTATCGCACTGTTGTACGTTTTCGATGACACAAATAAAAGCTGATTGACTTAAAGGTTCGAAAAGGTTGCAATCTTACTAATTAGCTGGTGAAGCAGAAATGGGGGGAAAAAGCAAAACAATGACATAATAAAAAAAACCTTTTAGACCAGTGATTCCCATCCTCAAGTACTCCCTACCAGGCCAGGATTTAGTGATGACCCAGTTGTGTCCAAGGTGTTTTTTAGAAAACAATCCTGGCCTGTTAGGGGGAACTTAAGGACTGGGTTGGGAACCCCTGCTTTAGACCAAATTACTGTATATACTCGTGTATAAGTCGAGTGCAGTTTTGTGACCAACAATTGTGAAATATGCTATGCCTTGTGGATTAGTCGAGGGTAAAACTTGGAGCTATGAAATTCACACACACTCATACAAACACACACTCTGCATTATATACACACACTCATACAAACACACTCCGCATTATATGCACACACACACACACACTCATACAAACGCACACTGTTATATGCACACACACACTCATACAAACGCACACTCTGCGTTATATGCACACACACACTCATACAAACGCACACTGCGTTATATGCACACACACTCATACAAAAGCACACTCTGCGTTATATGCACACACTCATACAAACGCACACTCTGCGTTATATGCACGCACACACTCATACAAACGCACACTCTGCGTTATATGCACACACACTCATACAAACGCACTCTGCGTTATATGCACACACACACTCATACAAGCGCACTCTGCGTTATATGCACGCACACACTCATACAAACGCACACTCTGCGTTATATTCACGCACACACTCATACAAACGCACACTCTGCGTTATATGCACACACACACTCATACAAGCGCACTCTGCGTTATATGCACACACACACTCATACAAACGCACACTGCGTTATATGCACACACACTCATACAAAAGCACACTCTGCGTTATATGCACACACTCATACAAACGCACACTCTGCGTTATATGCACGCACACACTCATACAAACGCACTCTGCTATATGCACACACACTCATACAAACGCACTCTGCGTTATATGCACACACACACTCATACAAGCGCACTCTGCGTTATATGCACGCACACACTCATACAAACGCACACTCTGCGTTATATTCACGCACACACTCATACAAACGCACACTCTGCGTTATATGCACACACACTCATACAAGCGCACTCTGCGTTATATGCACACACACACTCATACAAGCGCACTCTGCGTTATATGCACACACACACTCATACAAGCGCACTCTGCGTTATATGCACACACACACTCATACAAACGCACACTCTGCGTTATATGCACACACACACTCATACAAATGCACACTCTGCATTATATACACACACACTCATATAAACACACACTCTGCATTTGTAATGGATCACCTGGCACCCCGACTGGGTACCTCCGTTGATGGATGCTCCTAGCGCTTCTTGAGGACTCCAAGCACTCTAGTCGACACCACAACCACCACAGGCGAAGCAGGATCAAACTCATAAAAGAGCTTAGGAGTGATTATAGCAAGGGAATATGCAGAGCATAGCAATCCCTTGTAGCAGATTCCCCCCAATAAGAGACAGGACTCCAAATTGAGGATGAAGTAGAACTGTCTAAAACTTTATTTTACTTGGGACTAGCCCATATGGTCATTACATTAACATTGCTTTGAAAACTCAATAAAATGACAAACAATCAAATCATAGCAGGCAACATACAGTGACTTATTATAACATAATTACATATTTATAAATGGGTGGGGAAGACCATAATTAACACAAAATGTCTCTCCTGCATGCAGAATTAGCGATATGCAAATCACCAGTCTTGCTATTCAGGTAGTGCATATTACTGTTGCTACCAACAGAGGGCACTACACAAGCTCCATAGCCAAATCCACCTAGTTGGTAGCAATCCTCAGCAGTACAGGAGAGCAGGCAATACATCCCAGGGGCCATAGTCACATGGCAGGAGGCTGGCAATCAGTCTTCTCCAATGCCCAGTGGCGAGGCTGGTTCCGCCACAGCATTATATACACACACACTCTGCATTATACACACACACTCTGCATTATATACACACACACTCATACAAACACACACTCTGTATTATATACACACACACTCATACAAACACACACTCTGCATTATACACACACTCATACAAAAACACACACTCTGTGTGTGTGTGTGTGTGTGTATAATGCAAACACACACTCTGCATTATACACACACTCATACAAACACACTCTGCATAATACACACTCATACAAACACACACTCATACAAACACACACTCTGCATTATATACACACACGCTCATACAAACACACTCATACAAAAACACACACTCTGTGTGAGTGTGTGTGTGTATAATGCAAACACACACTCTGCATTATACACACACTCATACAAACACACACTCATACAAACACACACTCTGCATTATATACACACGCTCATACAAACACACACTCTGCATTATATACACACGCTCATACAAACACACACTCTGCATTATATACACACACGCTCATACAAACACACACTCTGCATTATATACACACACGCTCATACAAACACACACTCTGCATTATATACACACACGCTCATACAAACACACACTCTGCATTATATACACACACGCTCATACAAACACACACTCTGCATTATATATACACACACTCATACAAACACACACTCTGCATTATATATACACACACTCATACAAACACACACTCATACAAACACACACTCTGCATTATATGCACACACACACTCTGCATTATATACACACACACACACACACACACACTCTGCATTATATACACAAACACACACACTCATACAAACACACTCTGTGTGTATATAATGCAGATTGTGTATGTTTGTGTAGTTTGTGTAGTGTGTGTGAACTGGGTGGGGGGGAAGGGCATTTTTAGTTTTATTTTATTTTTTTAAAATTTTTAATTTTAATTTTATTTTATTATTTAATATTTTTTTTTTTAGTCCCCCCTCCCTGCTTGTTAACTGGTCAGGGAGGGGGGCGATCTTAATCCCTGGTGGCATGGGCTGTGCAGGGGGGAGCGGAGCAAGCTGTTACATACCTTTTGTAGCAGCTACGGTCAGCTCCCTTCACCTCCGTGCATCTCCCCTGTCAGCTCCCAGTGTAAATCTTGCGGTTTGCGTGCAGCGCGGAGCATTGCCACGGTAACCCGTGGCAACGCTCTGACTGCCGTGGGTGTCGCGAGATTTACACTGGGAGCTGACAGGGGAGCTGCACGGAGGTGAAGGGAGCTGACCGGAGCTGCTGTAAATGTAGGTGAAGGGAGCTGACCGGAGCTGCTCCCAGGCCCCAACAATGTAAGTTGCCATAATACAGACCTTGACTTGAGTATAAGTCGAGTGGGCCTTTTTTTTTTTTTTTTTTAGCACAAAAAATTTGCAGAAAAACTCGACTTATACTCTAGTGTATACGGTAGCCCAATCTGAATGGGGCAAGATTATAAAGGTCTGCTCCAGTACTGGGGAACGTCTCTCTCTGTGTGCAGGGATTCCGAATCACTAAAACGTGTAACAAACATACACTGGGCTATTTACTAAACCTTGAAGGTAATTTCAAATTTTACATTAAAATAACAGAGCTGAAATCACTTGCAATTTTCTCATCCGTTAGTTCCTAGTTTATTAAATAACCCTGTAACTTGTCTCTTATTTCCCTGTATTAGAATGTAAAGACAGCGCTGCAGAATTTGTTGGCGCTTTATAAATAATAGGAATAATACTGTAGTAATTGTAATCTGCTTTTGATGAATTTATCCTAAAGAGATGGGGGCATGACAGGAGTGTTACTCTCTGCATCAGTCTCGGGTGTCGTGTAACCCCAAAACTTTCTCTTCAGTGATTCGGACTGTGGTTGAGCAGCGCCAACAGGGGCTTCCTCCACTGCATAAAGAGGCACGCAGGAAACGGCGGGCTCTACGCCAGAAAGCGTTAGCGGAGCAAAGGGAGATTGAAAAAATGATGAAGGATCTTCAGACTGCTAATGAAGCCAAACAGCAGGAACTGGAAACTGTGCGCAAGGTAAGGAACGCAATAATACTGCGATTGACAGGGTACCATAACAACAGTACTGTCATCTTTCATATCCCAGAATTTGGGCAGAGCGGTTAATAATTCCAAATTTACAGTCAAGACAGATGGTTATCTTATTGTCCTTACTGGTGATTCAATCTGCAGGGTTTTCATTTGGGTTTTTCTTAGCCCAGTGGGAAGTAGTCTTAAACTAGGAATCTCCAAAACGTCTCCGGTCTGTGCTGATTTAATAGAGATGGATCCTTATTGCTTTTCTCTCTCCTTTGCAGCAACTGCAAGAGGCAGCGGAACGTGCGAGCGTGGAAGCGAAGCGACTCCAGGATACTCACCTTCAACTGCAAAAACGGTTCATGCTGGATCTAGAACGGGAACAAATGGTAATTAATGAGAGGGACATGGTCGCATTTATATTTATTGAATATGCATTTTTTCCTTGGTTAAAGGAACAGCACATACCCACAAAGCATTGTAGCTGATGTGTCCCCCCTTTTTACAAAGTGTCTCCCAGCTGTTAGGCAGGAGGGCACACTTTCTGAGTGCATTGTGACCAGGTGCAAAGCAGAAGGCTAGGCTTTTTATAGAGAAGGACTGAATTCACGGCTTCCTTATAATAATTACTGCAGACGCAGCGATTGTGTCCTGTGCCCCTTTTGTATGAGAATCGTTGCATTGTCGAGATCATGGCTGCTGATGATTTCTCGGTCAGCTGAGCTGCGGTGAAAGACTTTGTCAATGGGTTAGAGATAGATTAACCCTTTATTTGCAGTTATTGGGTGAGGAAAGGGGTCCAGGAGATTCCTCAACACTCCAGCATTATAAACAAATGTGAAGTGAAGCACAATCTCTGTAATTATCATATTAAGAAACACTTTCAACTCCCTGTAGTGGTAACAGTGCTTTCCCACAGTAAGTTTTTGACAACTTACTTCCAGACAGCACCAGGCCACTGCTGGCACCATAACCACTACAGCAGGCTGTAGTGATTATAGTGCTTGGAGGGATCCTTTAATTATTACCAACATAATTTTAAAATTTTAAAAGATTGCTGATATATTGCAGTTATTTGTACTCTGGCGCTGTGATAGATTTTGCTGCAGTTGATTTATTATTTCTACAAAGAAAGAGAGATTGACAATGTGCCCCTAAGGACATTTCCTTTACTTCTCATCTGTGCTGATAAATAAACGTATACACAATTTTTTTTTCTTATTTTTTTTTTGTGGATAAAGGATTTTTAAGCGTCACAGTCAGCGCTTCAGTATATGTTGAAGCGGTCTATAAATAATTGCAAAGCAGGCCTGGCGTCTGTCTGATTGTTGCTCTCTGTAGATTCGGATACAGATGGAAAATAAGGTAGCGGAGAAATCCTCTGAGCTGGAACAGAATTTACTCCGGTTACGCGAGCTGGAGGACCTGTATGTACAGCTGCAAGAAGCCCTGAATCAGGAGAAGCGAGCGCGTCAGGAGGAAGAGAATGCCCGTTATATACAAGAACGGTAAGTAACCCTGGTGCTTTGTCACAGACATTCCATTATTAATAAATGCTGTAAAACCGACATGTATTATTGTTAGATTACCCTGAGCAGCAGATCAGATGGTGAAATAAAAATCCCTATTATAATAATAAGGTCGTATTAGGTGTATATGTGGCCATAATACTACTTCCAGTTTATACATTTCTTCCTCTGTCCTTCTCACTTCATATTGAAAATATGCGTCAGCCCATCCTTGCAAACTCGCTGTCTTGGTGCATCTTTGATTCTGGCCTTCTAGCCAGTCTTATTGCCAAATCATGGCAATTACATCTAAAACAAATTTGCCTGGATTCGCACAAGATGGTACTAAGAAGCTTGTTCATACTCTTGTAATTTCTCGCATTGATTACTGTAATTCTCTTTTAATGGGTCGCTAAAGTCTGCAGTCAAGGCTGATCTTTCTCTCCTGTCACTCCTCTCACACCTTGTCCCTCTTTCAATCCTTACATTGGCTTCCTGTACCCCATATTGTTCAATTCAAAATATAATTCAAATATCTCTTGCGTACAAAGCTCTCAGCAACTCTACTCCCTGCTACATTTCTTCACTAATTTGTAGGAACACCCCTGATCTGCTGTGCCGGTGAGCTGTCCTCTGCTCGTACCCTTACTGGTAGATCGTTTCTACAGGACTTCTCAAGGGAAGTCCCATTCCTGTTGAACAGCCTGCCAACCCCCATCAGACTCTCCCCTAGTCTTCAATCTTTTAGAAATCCCTAAAAACCCATCTCTTCAATATAGCCTTTGGCCTCCCTGGGTGACTGTTTCTTATTCACACTGTAATTACACAGTCCACCCCCGCACTTTCACTTTCACCTTCACCTTCCACTTCTGCCTTTGTCAAAACCTGTAATTAATTGCTTACCCCATATGCCGTCCTCCCTATTGTATTTTATACCCTGCTTCCTCTAGATCAGGGGTTCCCAACCCAGTCCTCAAGCACCCGTCCAAGATTTAGGGATTACGCTGTTGTGTCTAAAGTGTTTGTTTGACACTACTGGGTAATCCCTAAATCCTGGACTGTTAGGGGGTAGTTGAGGACTGGGTTGGAAACCACTGCTCTAGATTGGAAGCTCATCATCCTAGCTTTCCTGTTAAACGTTTACTAGAATGTTTTATATGTTGAATAAATTTACCCTCTTTATAATATTGTAATGCGCTGCAGCGTAAGTGAGCACTATATAAATGGCAATAATAATGTAAAATTGGGCATCACCTCAGCCCTTTTTCTCCCGTTAATATTCTCTATGGCATTTTTGCTCAGTTATACAAACTTTTTTAACGGAGGACATTGCATAAAGATAAATTGTTAGCACCATAACCACTGTAGATTTGTGTAGTAATTATGGTCCAGTCCCTTTTGGGTTTTCTCAGTTTTCAAGTCATCTGACAAATTACTGCCCTTCTGGAATACATAATCCAGACACAAAACATTCACATTATTGCAGTGATTATAGTTTCCCTTAAAATGTTTAATAGAGATGGGGTGGAAAAAAAAAACATCTGACGTAAATAGAATGTGAAGTGCCAGGTTTAATAAATACTGATGCTAATCACCTCTTGGTATGGAAGTTACGGTGTCTGGTTTAAAGATTACGTCCAGTATTATATTGTAGCAGAGTATTCTCACAGACACTTATAGGGATATACGTAATACTCAGTATTATAACACAATGTGATTTGTACCAGGCTCCTGGAGGAAGAAGCGACCAAGCGAGCCAGGTTGGAGAAGTTACATAGAGAGCAGGAGATTACGTTAAAGACGACCGAGGCTGAGAAGAAGGAACTGGAGAGCATGCGGCAGACGAAAGAGCGCGAGTTACAGGAAGCCATGGAACAGCTGCAGCAGTTGGAGAGGGATCGCGTCAAAGCCCGGGAGGACTACCAGGTGAGGGTTTACATCCTGCGGCTGAACCTCGGGAATTTTCCCTACATGTGATTAGTTATACGGGCTATGCTGGCTATTCTACAAAGTAATGCGATGGTGCGTTCTGATTGGTTGCTTGAAGGTGCTTTCAGCCAATCAGTATGAAGAGCTGGAACATACGTAAATTGGTCTGGTAATTGTGTCTCTAATAGCTGTCACGATCCAGAGACCCACGTTTATAGTCCAACATCTGGAAATTAATGGCTTTACCTGGGACACGTGGGAAACCCATCATATTAAGTACATTTTAAGAATATTTGTATAGTTCCTGCCCAGTGAAAAGATCAAAGTTCTTTAACATTTCGGTGTATGATTGGAATTTACACACGCTTCCAAAATACTATTTAGAGCTTTATTACTGTACGGAAAAGAATGCTGTCTGGCTAAGTACAGGAAAATATTCTACGCAAATACTTAATTTGCATATGGTTGCCCAAAACAAGGTGATGGCAGGCAGGGCTAAAATGTTACAAATCTTTCCTCGTGCAGGTCTTCTGTTAGAGCATTTGTTTTAAAATCACCACTGGCAAACTTTCCCTCGAGGGGAAATCCCTGAAATATATCCAAGCAACAAAAACGTCCCCAGGTTTCAATGCTCAGTGTTTCTCTAAAAGGAAGCAATTTAAAAATGAACCTGTCACATTAATGTACACACCGTGCAGGGAAATCCGCAACAGGAATGTATCAGGCACTCACCGCATGGCGGAAGTCTAGTAATGAGAGTAACGTCCGGAGTAGATGGATCCACACTCCTATTCACAGCACAGAGTATGCAGGGCAGCTTGTGTTCTGTGACGTGAAAGTAATGCTGTCCAGCAGAGAGAAGCAACCTTTACTGACCTGCTTCCTAAACGCTGGGTTCTGTGTAGTAGTTACTGTATTTACATGGCATAACTAGGGCAACTCTATGCAAATTAACTTACATTTACTACAAATCCTGTCTCTCTTGCTGCAAACTCTCACTGTTATGACTTAATTGGGAATTGAGAGTGACTTTTTTACATTTTAGGCCAAAATCTATAGGTTCACTTTGACCATTTTCCCCTAAACATTAATATCCCATTTGAATTCCTCACACTTAAGTGAATAAGTTTGTGTCTCTCAAATAATCATAGTAAATAGAAAGTAGATTTTCTTAACAAATGGAGACACTGGTAATAAGCTCTGACATTTTAAACAATTTCCCAGCAGCCGAGGGCATCGTCTGTTCATTGTTTGACAAAGTGATGTAAAGTAATGAGGTTTACTGCGAAGTAGAATCAGATCTCACAACCAAGAATACACAGATAGAATTTGGGAAAAAAAATATTCCTGATTGGTAAAAATCATTGATGAAAACTGCTTGAAAACCATATTGTGATTTGTTCATGAATTAAATCTGTGATTGTATCTCTCCTTTCTTACAGATCGTTAGACAGAAACTTGATGAAGCGGCCTGCAATACAAAAAGCTGGCAGAAGAAAGTGGCCAAACAAGAAGGTTTAATCCGGTTAATACAACCAGGTAAATAATAAATCAAAGTGTTACGTCTGCTTATTCTTCATTAATGCTGTAAGACAGGGATAGGGAACCTTTTATCTGCCAAGGGCCATTTAGATATTGAAAACATCAGACGGGGGCCATACAAAATTATCAACGTAAAAATTAGCCTGCTGTATTTTGTCAAACATTTAATTAACTCACTCCTAATGTGATGGCTGGAACTGATTCTCTTTGGTGTGATGTTAGCTGGTATTGATGATGTTGCTACTTGTAGTGTGTGTGAGAGAGGTGCAGTGTGTTTGTGTGAGGTGATGTAGTGTGTTTGAACCCCTCACACAGTGTGTTTGTGTGAGAGGTGGTGTAGTGTGTGTGTGTGTGTCAGAGGTCTATATTGTGGTAGGAGTGATGAGGGAGGATGACTGGGAAAATCTATATATATATTTTTTTTTACTTAAAAAGTGGAAGAAAAACTATGTACCCCCCTCCCTTTCCTCTGACCTGGAATGAGGGGACATATCACTACTATTCCTGATGGTCCAGTGGTTTCGCGTGCACTTTAGCCTTTTAGCAGTGGCTGAGTGACAGGCAACAGAGGGTTGTAGTCAATGGAATATATTCGAAGCTTGGACTTGTCGCCAGTGGGGTACCTCGGGGATCTGTACTTGGACCCATTCTCTTTAATATTTTTATTAGTGATATTGCAGAAGGTCTTTGTAACGGATCGTTTTGCCCACCAGAGGTTAGGCGATATTCCCCTTTTTCAGATGCACAGACAGCTACTGCAAACCCACGAATTCACCAACTCCCGAACTGCAACCAAGGGAATACTCGAAACTCCCGAACTGGAGACACACGAATAGCTGTTAGCAGACGAACAGGAAATGCACCCAAGCGGCTTACACTCCTGGCAATCAGTCTCTAACAGCATACAGTAAATCCCCCCCAAAGACGAGACGACACTTAGTTTTGAGGGTCAAGCAGAATCTGGTTTACTGGGGCTAACTGCCTGGCTTTTATGCAGGTCTCCCACCTGGTGGACACTCCCCTAGGGGACCAGATGGGAGACTGGGACACAAAGGGTACAAGAACCAATCACAGACTTACACATTTCAACAATCCCACAATGCATCACAATCCCTCCTCTCTGTCCTGGAGATAATTGGGAAGTAATACAATTATCTCCAAGGACAGAGGCAAAACTCCATTACACACATATTCAGTAAAAGACAAAGTTACATACAGTCACATTTATTACATAAAACATATACATCCTACCTATCCCCAGATAGCTTAGATCTGAGCGCACATTACTACCGAATGGTGCTCAGATCACATGCATACAGTTCAATGGCCATGGAGCCAAAAGTCTTTCACATAGTCTTTCGTTACACGAATAGGCTCCATGGCTTAGCTATCTGGGGTGATGCTGTTCATCCGGTTAAACTACCGAATGAACAGTCATTCGGTTCCGCTACCGAATGGGGAGGTAAGGAGGCTGGCGGCTAAGCGGTGTTCGCGCAAATAAGTGTCCGTTTTCAGTTCCATAATTTGGGCGCTGAACACCAATGGCCGTTCGGGAGGTAAAATGGCAGCTGCCACGTGTTTGGCAGACGAACAAAGGCCACCCAGCTTTCGTCAATTAAGCTGCGGTTAACCGCAGCTTCTGGGCGGTCAATTGACGATACACTCCAGTTCCCAGGTGGTCCATTGTTCGGTAGATTGAATCTACCGAACACCCCGGCAAAAAAGGCACGAATAAACCTTTCAGCAGGGAAAATAACAGGTTTGAACTGCAGGGCCATAGTCTAAAGGGAGCAGGCGAGCAACTAGGCTTCTCCAGTGCACAGTGGCAAGGTTGGTTCCGCCACAGTCTTGATGGTAATGTATGTATTTTTGCTGATGATACTAAGATATATAAAAGGGTTGATATTCCAGGAGGGATAAGCCAAATGGCATATGATTAAGGTATACTAGAAAAATGGTCAGAGTTGTGGCAACTGACATTTGATGTGGATAAGTGCAAGATAATGCATCTTGGACGTAAAAACCCAAGGGCAGAGTACAGAATATTTGATAGAGTTCCAACCTCAACATCTGAGGAAATGCTAGCAGAATGCTTGGTTGTATAGGGAGAGGTATTCGCAGTAGAAAGAGGGAAGTGCTCATTCCATTGTAAAGAACACTGGTGAGACCTCACTTGGAGTATTGTACGCAGTACTGGAGACCATATCTCCAGAAGGATATTGATACTTTAGAGAGAGTTCAGAGAAGGGCTATTAAACTGGTTCATGGATTGCGGGATAAAACTTACCACGAAAGGTTAAAGGATCTTAACATGTATAGCTTGGAGGAAAGATGAGACGGGGGATATGATAGAAACATTTAAATACATAAAAGGAATCAACACAGTAAAGGAGGAGACTATATTTATAAAAGAAGGAAAAACTACCCCAACAAGAGGTCATAATCTTAAATTAGAGGGGCAAAGGTTTAAAAATGATATCAGGAAGTATTACTTTACTGAGAGGGTAGTGGATGCATGAAAAAGCCTTCCAGCTGAAGTGGTAGAAGTTAACACAATAAAGGAGATTAAGCATGTGGGATAGGCATAAGGCTATCCTAACTATAAGATAAGGCCAGGGACTAATGAAAGTATTTAGAAAATTGGGCAGACTAGATGGGCCGAATGGTTCTTATCTGCGGTCACATTCTATGCTCTGTGCTATGCTATGCCTAAAGCTCATCCGGCTGCAGGTTGACTTCACTCTTTTCTTCGCGCAAGCACAGCGCTGTCGGAGCGTTGCCATGGTAACGCGCGGCAACACTCCACCTTGCCTGCTCGCAGGAGGATCACAGCCTCCCGGGGTCCTAGCTCCCTCTCGCTCCGTTTACAAACTCCCAGGAGGCCGGTGAGGGAGATCTTTGATCTCCCCACCAGCCCGAAAAAGGCAGACAGCCGGGCTGGACCAAATTATTTCTGGACATTCCCCACCCCTGCTGTAAGGCATTCGGAAATAATATGGTTCTTCATATTCTGTAATGGAGATGTTAAAAAAAAAAAAAAATTTAAAAAATCAGAAACTGCACACAGTGTATTATAACTACTTACATTATAAGGAAGTCCCCTGTCTCCCCGCACATAGTGTATTGTAGAAACATAGAATGTGACAGCAGATAAGAACCATTCGGCCCATCTAGTTCCTTTAATAAGCCTGGGGCTGTGAGCAAAGTAGTCAATTTCAGTTCCTAGAAACATGGACAATGAAGCTTATATTAATTTCTGAGACTGATATTTGTACCAATATTAATAACTAACAAATCTGCCTTTTTAGGTTCCAAAATTCAAGAGTTCATCACACACTGGGGTCCAGCGTCTGTCACAGATGCGGAGTTCAAGCAGCTTGAGAAACAGTGGCAGGAGCAGAAAAGCGCCAGTTCAAAATAAACGCCGGAACGCACAGAGCGCAAGAAAAAAGAAGGTGTCTTATACCATGGAAACGCAGAGTTACTATTATAACTTGTTTGATTATTAGGCTGTGTCCATCTTTTAAAAAAAAAAAGGGAGCATACTGGTAATATTTAGATGTTAGAGACATAGATCTTACAATACGGACACTAACTGGGATATAAATCCAATCCCACACCGGACTCCTACAAGGGAATACCTGCTTCCATCCTGGACCTCCACACGAGTGGGGAAGATGTGTTCTGCATTCCATATTACCTGCCCTGATGTGTAGAATAGGTGATGTTTGGGAAATGTGGCTCCTGATAATAGGGCCATAATATCTTGCAATTCTATTAAAGAATCTGCTATGACTTGTCTTATATAAAAATGTAAATTCCATATAGGAGTCCATTGTTATTTTTCTACCCTGTAGAGAAAATCACAATACTTTCTAAGTGTAGTTATCATCACATTGACCACAGCATCCCGCGGTTATGGTGCCAGGAATACTCTGGTGGCCTGCCAGGGTAAGTAGTCAAACTGTTTGAAAACTGACCTTTGGTCCGCTGGGCGCCTTCTTCTTTGAGCTAGCTGGCAGTGCAGGGAGAGTGCTCAGCGGACTATCAGCCAATCAGTGCTGGCCTCGTCAGTCCGATTGTGTCGCTGTGCCTGACTAACCCTAAGGTAAGTTGTCAGGCTATTCACAATTTTGAGAGGGTGCCAGGGCACTCTTGGCATTATAACCACAACAATGCGCTGTAGTGGTTATGGTGCATGGAGTGATCCTTCAGCAGAACCATCTGACTTTTAGAAATGTGGGGTTTAAAATCTTTTTGGAGTTGAATTTACTAACACTATTTTCGGTTGGTTCTCAGAATATTGGTTAATAACTAACAATACAAACAACTCCCACACATTTAAAGAAACACGTAATTTATTTATAACACACGAGTAGTACATGGCCCCCTTTTCCTCTTAAGCAGTGGTTCCCAACATTTTTTCATTTGAGTTCCCGTTGGCAGCCCATTTCCATAAACCTTCCATAAATTTCCATAAGACCGGCTCCTCCTCCTCTCCAATGAAGACACACAACAGGGCTGCCTCTCTGATAGCGCTGGCTCTGCATGGTCCGGCAGGGGACTTCCTGTGATCTCTCCTGTAGGCCTTGGCCCATGGCCATCGAGGCCCACCAGGCATTTGCCCGATGTCCGGGCCGGTTTTCCGTCCATACGGCCGCCATTAACTAAATTTATTTGCGTACCCACTGGGACACGGAATTGTACCCCTGGAGGTACGCGTACCATGGGTTGGGAACCCCTGCTCTAAAGGTATAGTGTAGGCACTATCACTATATCATCTCAGTGAAGTGGTTATAATGCCTGGAGTACACTATCACTGTACCTCCAATCAGTGTTAAACCATTTCCGATCAGTTTAACACCAAATGAGGGTCCCTGGCTTCCCATAGCCTCTCCCCCACTGGGGATGTGACTGAGGCAGAGATTACACACCTCCTAGTCATACCAATTCATACCAGCAATCTGCGCTGTGATAGGCTGGAAGCAGCCAGCTGCAACTCTCAACCATTGTGACACATATCAATATGCACGTGGGGAAGGAAGACTTATAATGACTTTACTATGCTGGAAAATATTCAGTTTTATACACTAGCTGGGGACTACTAATGTGAAGTGTGCAAATGGTCCTGTAGAGAAACTGTCACATACTTCATATATCTTGGGAGAGGAATAAATGGAACATTATGATACTGTCCCTATACACAGTAACAGTTATTAATATAATGGGGTTGCTTGGGTTTAATGACTTAATGGGCTCTGTAATGCTGGGAGATTATAAATAAAATAACATTACAGGATCCACTCACTTTCTTTAACACTGGAATCTGGGAACAGATCAAAAGTTGTAAAATATTTTAAGGCAAAAAATTAAAAACAACTTCGCTTAAAAATGCGTAAATCCCTGGTCAATTCCCCATAAATACCTTTTTAGAGAATAAACCTGACAGTTTCAAATATAAATCAAATAATTTGCAGTTCCAAGCAGTTCTGCCAAATACACAAGCATTAAAAGTAACAGTCAGATAATTAAAAAGCAGACCATTCAATAAAGACTAATCAGTCTTACCCCATACTGGACGTGAGGAAATTGTGTCCACAATGAAAGGTCGGCCACAAAACTGCATCAAAACAAAATGATGAGAGAGAGACAGGATTAACAAACAGCTCACACATTGGACTTAACTCTTCTCAAGCACAGGCAGCTGACAATTAAAGAGCATGGCAGGAGTGGAGAAAACGGTCCGCACTTACCCGTAAGACTTTGGTTAAAGGAGGTAACCTCAATGTTAGGTAACAAAGGGTTAAAGGGCGATAATCTGTAACTGCAGAGATTTTTTTTTCCCCCTTTTGCCCCAGTAAGCTCTTCGATATCCAGATTAGTGAATTATGTTTAAATAGAGAGACAAATATCACATAACGCCTCTACCAACGTGTAAAGTGTGTATCATGCATGAGCACATCCTGCATTTAGACATGTACAGACTAAATTCTATTTACTATGTGATAGCACATCTTCCTACTACAGTCCCCAGACTATATGGGATAATATAACAATATAGCACCAATATTACCGCAAAAATCTAGAATATACTCCTGCAGAGAATATACTACGAGAACATGCATTTTGCAGGAATGTTTTTTAATAAGCACTGTGAGTATATACATAAAAGCACTAACACTTTCATTGATTAGTTTTGATACAAATTTTTTTTTTTAAATTGCTTTTATAACATAAATGTTGCATTATATATATTCACAATGCTCTTACAACAGATTATTAAAATACACTTTAGCATTCGCACAATTTAATGTCTTCCCCGTTAGTGTATCAATATTCTGATATTGGGGTATTGTGAAGCAGTGGTGGGCTTTACACAATATGACCATAAGGTGGAACTGAATCCCCATATTTGTTTGCTGAGATTGATGATTTTAAGTAGCCTTATAACCTTTAAAATGTATTTTTATATGCGCGCTATCCTCTAATCTGTATTATGGTGAGAATATACTATCTGGACACTAGGCGGCAGTGTTGTCCAGCCTGTAATTCTACAATACAATTAACAAGCAGGAAACTTGATTCTCTTTCCAAACGTCCTAGAACATAATTAATTAACATATAATTAACTTCAGCCTCGCTGATCATTTAGCGGTATTTAGCTGAACGGATCTCTCTTTTTATTGTACTCTGCATCTGTTCTCAGTGTCAGGTTTATAGTCACCTAGGACCATAGGCGGGCGCACGGGGTGTGCCTGGGCACACCCTAATCCCCGCGGCACGCCTATGTGTATTGAGACCGGCAGGGGAGATCTCAAGATCTCCCCTGTCGGCTCATGCAGAGCCGGCGCTATCCCACATGTAGGGAGTGAGACAGTAGAGGACCCGGGGAGCTATTGCCGGCAGCTCCGCTGGGTTCCTCTCGCGAGATGCCCTGCAGGCTAGAGTTCACTCACCACTGGACCACCAGGGAAGGCAGCAGCAACAAGGAATCCCCCCTCCCTACATAAGGTAAGAAGGGAGGGGGGAGATATTAAGTAATGTACCCACACACATAGGGCACCCACAGACATACAGCACCCTCACAAACACACACAGCACCCTCACAAACACACACACACAGGGCCGGCCTTAGGGGTGTGCGAGCTGTGCGACCGCACAGGGCGCCATGGAACAGGGGGCGCCCTGTGGCCGACACAGCTCACTCATGGCCGGAGTGCAGGGGAGCTAAAAGAGGTACCTGGCTGGAGGATTAATTATTCTCCACCCGGGTCTATTTAAAAAAAAAAAAAATCGCGGCAGAGGGGGCGGGGTTTACCGAGCGGCGGAGGCGGGGCTTATCGAGAGGCGGAGACGGGGCTAATACCTCCCGAAGCCCCTGCTGTACAGGAAGAGGGAAAGATGCTTCCCCATCAGCCAACTGCATCCACTGGAAAGAGGTAAGTGTGTGTGTGTGACTGTTTGCCTGTTTGTGTGACTGTCTGTCTGTGTGTGTGTGTGACTGTCTGTCTGTGTGACTGCCTGCCTGTGTGCGTGTGACTGTCTGTGTGTGTGTGTGTGTGTGACTGTCTGTGTGACTGCCTGTCCTTGTGTGTGTGTGTGTGACTGTCTGTCTCTGTGTGTGTGTGTGACTGTCTCTGTGTGTGACTGCCTGCCTGTGTGTGACTGTCTGTGTGTGACTGTCTGTGTGTGTGACTGTCTGTCTGTGTGACTGCCCATGTATGTGACTGCCTGTGTGTGTGACTGTCTGTCTGTGTGACTGCCCGTGTGTGTGACTGCCTGTGTGTGTGAGACTGTCTGTCTGTGTGACTGTCTGTGTGTGTGACTGTCTGTCTGTGTGTGTGACTGCCTGTGTGTGTGACTGCCTGTATGTGACTGCCTGTGTGTGTGACTGCCTGTATGTGACTGCCTGCCTGCCTGTGTGTGTCTGTCTGTAACTATCTGTCTGTGTGTGACTGCCTGCCTGTGTGTGTGACTTTCTATCTGTGTGACTGCCTGCCTGTGTGTGTATAACTGTCTATGTGTGTGTTACTGTGTGTCTGTCTGTGTGTGTGACTGCCTATGTGACTGTCTGTCTGTGTGTGTCGCTGTAGCTGTGCCATTGTTTGTGCCTGTGCCTGTATGTGTGACTGCCTTTAACTGAGTGTGTGTGTACATGCCTGTAACCGAGTTTAAATTTCCCCCACCCCTTCCTGTCAAGGCCGCACTTTGACTGACAGACGCTCACTCACTGACAGACGCACACTCACTGACGACACATACACACTCACTGACGACACATACACACTCACTGACTGACACATACACACTCACTGACTGACACATATACACTCACTGACCAACACACACATTCACTCACAGACACACACACATTCACTTACAGACACACACAATTACACACTTACAGACACACACACACACACACACACACACATTCACTTCAAAATAAACACTCACAGACACACACACAGACATTTCCACTATCACTCACAAACTAATATTTTTTACATTTATTTTAAATCCACCCAGCCTCCCTGGGAAAGCTGGAGTGGATTTCTTACCAGCAGTCCAGTGTGGCTGCTGGGCAGGCAGGCAGGGGGCACACAGGCTGAGTAAGCAGCGCTTAGTGATGCCGGGAGCCGGACTGACGTCATATTCTGGCTCCCGGCTTCATTAAGCGGCGCAGAGGAAGCTGAGCAGGAAGAGCTCAGGTGATTATGCTCCTTCGCTGCCCGCTGCCAGCCTTGGGGGGGCTCAAAAGTGGCCAGCCGGTCAGCTCTTGAGCCCCCCAGGATGCGAGGCAAGCAAGGGATCTGCCTGGGGGTTTGGAGGGATGCTTTTTTTTGCCGCCCCCTGCAAAGTGGCACCCAAGGCAGATGCTTTGTTTGCCTCGTGATACACACGTCCCCGGTGCCTGTGTGTGTTACTGAATTCAGGCAACTTGGTGGGAGGTGGGGGGGGCGCCGTGAAGACTTTTTGCACAGGGCGCCTAATTGCCTAAGGCCGGCCCTGCACACACAGCACACTACCAATACCCTCACACACAAACTGCACCCTCACACACAGTACATTAACCGCACCCTCACAAGCGCACACACACACAAACAGCACCCTCACAAGCACGCACACACAAACACCCTCACCCACATAGCACACTACCAGCACCCTCACCCACACATCACACTAACAGCACCCTCACACACACACACACAGCAGTATATGTGTGTGTGTGTGTGTATGTATATATATATATATATATTTGTGGTCAGGGCACAAAGCCGAAGCGTTAGGAACATAAAACAAACAGGGGATGGAAAAGTCAGTTGTGGTGTACCGGAACTGACGAGGTAGTAGGCCTGAAATAAAAGAGGGCAAAAAGATGTAACCAGTTTATTCAGCCTACAATACACAATAGGATATCACATAATCATATTCTTAAATGCTAGGCGCACCTCTTGTACTGGCTGAGGAATGTGTCTGGTATAAGCCGTGGATTTCCACCAGCCTAATATTTTAATGATGTGCACCGGAATATTCCTTTTAGAAGCGGTAGTAGCTGCTCCTATTCTAAATGAGTGACCTGAATATTCGACTGGGTTCAAGAACAGCATTCTTACATAGAGCATGAATTTACTCGTACTGAGCGTATTACCGTGTAAGGCTAGTAGTAGTTGTGTTGGCGCCATTGGAAAGGAGGAGAGGTATTGGTCGAAAATTTACACAGGGCACCATTTATTACTAGTGGGGTAATAGGCAATAGTGACCAACTGACCCTTGGCACTAGTTTTCGTATGGTGTAGGGACAGTAAATAGTGATCGTGTGATTTTACCAGGTTTGACCTTGTGATGAAGTTGGGGGTGTTGTAGTTAGCAGTGGTAAATTCTTTGGGCCGAAGAAAACCGTAAAAAGCTAAATAGATGGCTGTTTTAATGACATGATTAGTATAAGTTTTAAATGGTGAGGTGTTTAATAGGTTTGACAGTGACTGGAACAATAGATCGTGGATGGGTAATCTGGATGGTGTGGGTGTAGGGGTGGAGTCCTTGATACCTTTAAGAATGGCTTTCACTTGGTAAGATGACAGAAAGCGTTGTTTATTAGGCCAAGTGGTGAGGATGTGATGTTGAATACCGGTGATATATAATTTAATGGTATTGAATGATAGTGTTAGGTGAAGGTGGCAAAAGGAAATAAATGCAATCATTGTCTCCATGGAAAATTTGTCTGTGATATTAAAGTCCAGCAAGAATCTATTAACCCCTTAAGGACGGAGCCAAATGTACACGTTGTGAACAAAACAAAATGTAAACAAAACCTGGCATTTGCGCTACATGTCTGTCCAACCGTAATTCACCTCTTTCATAGTAAATGCACCCACCCTTATTATATATCATTTTATTCAGGGGAAACAGGGCTTTCATTTAATATCAAATATTTAGCTATGAAACAATTTAATATGAAAAAATGGGAGAAAATAAGAATTTTTTTTTTTTTTTAGTTCTACATGACATTTTAACTGTCAATGTCATAATACTGTTTGCTTTTACTGCAATAAAATACACATATTTGTATTCAGCAAAGTCTCACGTGTAACATACCCCCTATGTACAGGTTTTATTGCATTTTGGGAAGTTACAGGGTCAAATATAGCACGTTACATTTGAAATTGAAATTCGCCAGATTGGTTACGTTGCCTTTGGGACTTTATAGTAGCCCAGTAATGAAATTTACACCCACAATGGATACCATTTGCAATAGTAGACAACCCAAGGTATTGCAAATGGGGTATGTCCAGTCTTTTTTAGTAGCCATTTGGTCACAAACACTGGCCAAAGTTAGTGTTAGTATTTGTTTGTGTGTGAAAAATGCAAAAAACGCCAATTTTGGCCAGTGTTTGTGACTAAGTGGCTACTAGAAAAGACTGGACATACCCTGTTTGCAATACCTTGGGTTGTCTACTATTGCAAATGGTATGCCATCATAGGGGTCATTTTCATTCTTGGGCTACCATAGGGTCTCAAAGGCAACGTAACCAATCTGGCGAATTTTAATGTGAAAAAAATGAAACACAAGCCTTATATTTGACGCTGTAACTTTTGAAAACACCATAAAACCTGTACATAATTAGGTATCTTAATTAATTACAATTCGCAGGACCTGCCTGACAACCCATGCCGAAAGTAAAGGGAATTTAATTTGCTAGCACTATATTTAACCCTATAACTTTCCGAGACACCATAAAACCTGTACATGGGGGGTACTGTTCTACTCGGGAGACTTCACTGAACACAAATATTAGTGTTTCGGGGGGGCGGGGCCGGGCCGCCGGGCCGACTGGAGGCCATTAGCTTGAGCTCCGGCTGTGAGCTCGTGATAACAGCACAAAATACTGTTCCTCACCGCTTAAAAGACGGATCCTCCGACACCAGTGCACGGAGAATGACCTAAGCTTTTACCCGCTACCCGCATGAAACTCCTCGCCTGTCGGGTGAGTGGAGGCGGCCATCCCCGGCCTACCAACGGCTGAGAATCCGACCGCATGCGCATCCGCGGGGAAGCGCTGAGCCGAGGCACCCGGGCAGAAGAAGCCACGAGAGGAATACTCCGACAAAGAGCAACTCCCGGCCCGGGGCACGGCCCTGTCACCCCCCCGGCCGGTGGGGGTTATCCCGGCCACATGGCGACCGCTCGTGCCGTGACGGGAGCCCCCGCTGCGGTAACGTGCTGGACGCCTATACTGGCAAAGCCTGCATACAGCACAGCCAGCCAGCAGATGTGGGAGCTGATAAGGTGGAAGCCATCCGCCTTCAAGAGGAAGCACCTAGGAAGGGTGTGGAGCAGAGCAACGGCTGTGTGGAGGATGGCCAGCCGGCAGATGTGGACACTGCCACGGTGGGGAAGGTACACTCACCTGAGGAGGCAATCAGGCAGAGATAAAGGAGACCTGCACTATTACAGAGGTTGGAGACCTAATGCAGCTGCACCCCACTGCCTGTGTATGTTCTCCCTCAAGCCACCAGTGACTGATCAGAGCTGTAGTAACCATGAAGAATACCTACCATGGCGAGCTGATCCAAACGGCCGATACGGACTTTGGCATTGCTGAGCACCAGATGGATCCCTCGTGATGACTGCCCGCCCGTCAGAAAAAGTGAGTGCCCAGGCATCTGGGTCTGGGAGGTCCCCGGAGAGCCTTGTCCCTGATGCTGGGAGCCCTGTGGGGCTGGTCTGCGTGGCCCCCCCCGGCGGACCGGTGGCCGGGGGCGGCGGGCACCGGCTCCAAGTATGTGGCCGGCGCCAGGAGAGACATTGGGACACTCGCCTCCCTGGGCGGTGTTGGGGAGGTGCAGGGAGCAGGAGGCCCGCGGACTCTAGGTGTGGGGGTCAAGTGGACTGTCTCTGCCACCGAGTGCCCACAGCACCGCCGGGGACCCATGTGATGGGCTGGGGTCGCTCCGGGGAGCACGGACGGAGACTCGGCATCCCAGGAGATGCACTGCGGCCGTGCCACGGGAGGCCCTCATCGGACAGATACTAAGACCAGCCTGGCTCCTTTACTGTTACAGTTATTACCGTTAAGTTATTTTTGCTTTGTTCTGTATACATCCATCCTTACCGCATGCCTAGTTCACGACGCATTAGACGCAGTAATAGGGCTGCTAGCTATGCCTAAACCCCTGCTTCACGATGCCTGACTAACATATCGTATAAAAACGTGTGTACTTGAGGTAGCAATGGGACCCGAATATAGTTTTGGTAGGGACGCTACAGAACGACACCCCACGTGGTCCTGCTGTCATCAGCTGACAAACCTTATTAAATTGCAAAATACAACACCCTCTACCACAACACACGCCATATTGCTATATATCGCCTCACCGGGAGACAGGCAGCCACCCGACGCTCGCTTTCACAGTGCTCAGGAGATAAGCTCCGTTCAAGACACCTAGCGCATGCACCTGGCTCAAGAAGAGCCCGCTTAACGCACACAGACCTGAACATTTAGCCACGCATCTAAGCAAGCACTGCACGTATTGACCATTTCATACTTAGCACCCGCATATAATGTGCACAACTTTTGAATCTTAACTGAGCTTCCCTTTTGTCAGTCCTAATGCTATAGTTTTTTTAGATTTTATACAAAGCCAAAACAAATCTCGCAAACTTAATGTATCATCTGGCGGGTACACAAAGCCTCTGCGAAGGCCACAACCTGTGAACCTGTTCATGCAAATATAACCGGGCCTCCACGCAGGCACGGACCCGCCACTTTAACACTACGTTTGCAATGTACTATGCTAGGAATCTAACAACTAGATGCCACGGATAAGAATATATGGCACATAGCAACGAAAGGTGAACAACAATGTCACGCTAAACGGTCCTCTGCGCAGGCAACCGAATGTTTCCACCGTTATAAATTGATGCTTAAGCCCCTGCGCGAGCAATCACTTGCTTCGTTATTTGACAAAACAGTTTGATACATGCATCCATGTTATGAATACAATAAAAATATTTAAAACAAATATTAGTGTTTCAAAACAGTAAAATGTATTACAACAATATCGCCAGTAAAAGTGAAGTTTTTTGCATTTTTCACACACAAACCGCACTTACACGGACGATATTATTGCTGTGATACTTTTTACTGTTTTGAAACACAAATATTTGTGTTCAGCGAAGTCTCCCGAGTACAACAGTACCCCCATGTACAGGTTTTATGGTGTCTCAGAAAGTTATAGGGTTAAATATAGTGCTAGCAAATTAAATTACCTTTACTTTCGACATGGGTTGTCAGGCAGGTCCTGCGAATTGTAATTAATTAAGATACCTAATTATGTAAAAATATTACATAAATATATATGTGGAATTAATATATATATATATATATATATATATATATATATATATACACGTATGTGTAGCATCCAAGTAGAGAGCACTCTGGAGTCTTCGTTTTATATCAAAATAAATACTGCTTTATTGTGCAGAATACAAAAATGTCAACGTTTCAGTCACAATACACTTTTCTCAAGTACACGTATGTGTATATATATGTATATATCTATATAATTTTTAAAAAAATATTTTTATTTATATATAGGTATATATATATATATATATATATAGTGATATATACGTATATATTTATGTATATAGATATATATATTATTTCGTTCTACGTGTATTTTGATATATATATATATATATTAATTTCACAATACAGTTAGAACGAAATAACACACATCTATATATTTTTTAATTATTTATTTTTTATTATTTTTTAAATTTTATTTTTTAATGTATTTACATTTTTATTTTTTTTATATTATATATAAATATATATAACAATAATTATATATATATATTTAATCAGTATCAGTCTACGTGTAATTTGATATTAATATATATATATAATTATATATTAATAGTAAAATACACCTAGACGGTGTACGTGTGTATATGTATATGTGTATATATATACTTAGATCATATATATATGATATATATGATCTAAGTATATATTATTTATTTTTTTTACACTATTTATTTATTTTACTTTTATTTTCAGCCACCTGTCATTACAGGCAGCCCCCCTGCTGGCAATGCTGCAGCCAGCTACCCCCGGCCATGTGATTGTGGGGTCCTCGCAAGGACCCCACTCTCACACGGCCGGGAGGCTTCGAGGAGGACGGACGTGCCGCGGGGGGCTCCCTGGGAGTCCCCCCCACCGCGATCGCCGGCGTGGGATCGCCGGCGACCGGGTAAGTACCGAAAGACCGAAGGGCGTACTATTACGCCCGGCGGCGTTTAGAGCCGCTTAGAATAGGGCGTAATAGTACGCCCTCCGGTCTGAAGGGGTTAAAAATATGAAAAGCCCTGCCATATGCCTTCCTCGTGTTAACAGAAATACCAAGTTGGGAGAGTTGATGCCCATGAGTGAGTAGTTCTTTTAGTCCCAAACCATCTCCTGCCACCGCGGTACCGGAGTTGGTATCAGGGTAGCTGTTGGTAGTGCCGCCCGGAACTCCTGAAATCGAGATCGCGATAAATGATCAGCAGCTATATTCAGGCACATGTATGCAAGTTAAGAGAAAACTGTGTTTTGCAGCTAGCCACGTGAGAATCCTCATAAATCGCATGATGGCCAGGGAAGAGAAACGTCCCTTGTTTACAATATGGCACATTGCCATGTTGTCTGAGATGCAACGCACCATATTTCCAGACCAGCAAGCTCCCCATTTAACTGCTGCTGCAACAATTGGGTAAAGCTCAAATAACGCAGAGGTGTCTTTGAACTCGGGGATCTCAGTAATTTCCCCAGGCCATTTGCCCCACATCCATTCATTTCCAAAAATTGCGGCAAATCCTGAAGTGGCCGCAGCATCCGTCCAGACAGACACAGACTTATCCGTCCACACTGGAATAAAAATGCTTTTCCCATTCC